GCCGCACCCCTACCCCCTCCTCCCCCCTCGCAGCCCAGGTAGCAAGATTTTCGGGAAAAATCTCATCACATGGTTAGGAATTCGGACAATCTCAGATAATCCGTAAATCTGACTCCGCCATTGGGTCGAGTTTAGGAAAGGCTAAAGTTGCGAATATTTTTCAGTTCTTAAGATACAATGCAAGAGAAGATGCGACTAATTTGATTAAGCCAAGCCGCATGATTGCCTGAACCATGATCACCATTCGAGGGGGGGAAATGGCACATCCTAACGGAACATGTCCTATTTGAAACAGAAATGCTTATCTATAAGCCACATACACTGTCCAAATGTTCTGAGCAAGTCATAGAGCAACATTTGGTGTTCTGAAAAGGTGAAGATTATATGCTTTAGTAGCGATACCTATGCTTTAGCTATAGGCCTGATTGTGTAGCGGAAACAGAAATGACACATCCGGGCAGAATATACAGAAATGTATATTTTAAGCTTTATAAACCGTTCAAATGTAAAGACAAGTTGATACGCTTAGTCATAGAGCGACTACGGGATCTACAAAGGTGAACATTCTCTGGTTTAGGCTAGAAGTAGACTTCACATGAAAAAAGGTATCAGCTTTATGAATATTGTCTCCTACCCAAAACTGATACAAAACCACAATATAGATTTTTACAATTCCAGAACACATGACATGTTTAGTGGTGAGTCAATGGTAATACTTACTTCTTGTCATTCCTGCATCATATCTTAAATTCCACCATAATTTAATGTATTAGAAATTGTATCGATATAAATTGCTTTTTACCTTTCCCATTTCCTCAATGACTAGGACATAGGAAAACCAAAAGAAATAGAAATTGTATGAGTGATAATCACAGGTGGATACAATAATTTCAAATTTTCTAGGTATGAATTACAGTAACTGTAAAAGGAGAAGATTATTATCTATTGAGTCAGACAATGGGTTTATAAACCAATAACAAAACACATTCCCAATCGTTTATTTTAATATAAATATTATACACTACACCGTACATCCCACGACTCGTGCTATTTGTCTGAGATATATTCGACCACACTTATTATGACGAAACAAATTCGCACCTGCTCATTGGCTATCTATTCTTTACCTCAATGGTCTATTGGGTATTTAAATGTTTCCACGCGAATATAACAAATCATAAACTTTAAATATCTTGATACGTTTACTATTCTACAATTATTAATAGTGAATTAATATTTTGAAGAATATCATTATGGAAGGATTATTTGTTAAAGCAGATAAAAAATTTCTTGTTTGTTTGAATAAGACTCATTTGTTATATCGAAACATTGAACAGGGTACAGGTAAGAGTTATAACTTTTTCGCTCTTTTCACATTATTTCTTCACCTTCCAAAATATTGATCCCAGAAAAAATGACAAGAGCTCTATATAGAAGATTAGAAAAATCGCTTATTTTTCAAATGTATAAACCCTTTAAGCCCAAAAGATGCTAATTGCATATGTATTATTTTAGCATAGCTGTTTGATTTCGGCTCAAGAAAATGGAATTATGATTCAAAGTATACGATTAAATCTGTATCCATTTCAGGAACTATTGCATTTGAAGATATCCTATCAGTGAAATATAACGACACCAGTTTCACTGTCATGTATGCCGTGAAGACCGTATCTAAGAAACTAGTGCAAGAAAATATAACATTCTATGGTAGTGAAAGTAAAAATATTGGTCAGAAAATTCAAGAATATATTGACAGTAAGCCTTTTTCTTCCCATATAGTTTGGTCGCATAGTAGAATTTTCATTTGTGACTGCCTATTTAGAGTTCTATCCTAATTTGCAAAAAAGTCTATGTTACATAGTACAGTTTTGTTTAAGAATAGCAAACTGATGATACAAAAATTTATGAAATATTTTGGTAGAAATGTGCCGATTTATTCAACGGATCTACTGTCTAAAGTCTTCTCGTACTCATCCCATTTTTAAATTATTGTGCCTTTAATGTAATAATAGATACAACTTTTTATAATTGAAATCTAACGCCGAGTTCCCAAACAATTAGAAAATAAACTCTCTCAAAAAACAACCCAATCAAACATACAAAGGAAAAACTATCGTCAATTGCGAGACTATTAACTGTGTCTTATTCCATACATATAAATGTATCAGCAATGACGTCATAACGTCGGTAATAATTGCACGTGCAAATTATAATGCCCCGGGGCAAACTTAATAACTACAATTTAAACTTCTCAAGTACTTTTTTGCAGGAAAACCCTGTTAAATTATAATTCTCATATGTGGTAGAGATAACCGAAAAAGAGCTTTATTATTCGGAATTTAAAGCCAATATCCCTGTGAAAGCATTATTCAAAAACTGCATTCTCTGTGCTAATAGACTTTTATCCTATATCTTATACCTGCACAACATATAATGATTTTGACAGTTAGGATACAACTATCGTCATAACTGTTGTCATCATACAACACAATGATGGAATATAAATTCTACAAGGTTGTACAACTGCTTAATATTCAGTTTTAATGACGTAGGTCTCTGTTTGTCGGTTGTAAGTCCATCGCTTAATTGTACCGACTATATAAAACTTGCCTTATATCCGTAATGTGAGCTATCTAAATTGTAAATTATACTGTAATACATACAATTTAATCTTTTAAAAAAAAAAAGATAAGGAATTAAAAACATATACATGTGATATTACATTGGTTTGTTGAAAGGAGATAAGATTCCATTGAATACAATGGTGATATATCAAATATGATCCGGATTTCCAAAAAACATTAATCAGAAATCCGGACATTGAATTGAGAGAGTTTTATTATGGGGTAATTTATATCACATTTTTTAAGTATGATTTTTGATATTTCTTCTTTTTTTTGGCGCATAAAAGGTGTCACAGTGCACATCTGTTAAAGCTGTCAAAAATATAGACAACGAAATATGCTTTCCTCAACAAATTTGCATACATTATATAAGTATCAAAATATTTTAATTGAAGGATATGTTATGTAAAAAATAGTTAGATTGGAAGGTATGCTAAAATTTTCCGATGTGTATTTTGATGATGATGATGATTTTAAGAATCTCATTGTCTCTGTATCACGTTCATAGCTTTAAGAAGGTGTGATTTAGGAATTCGTAGGCCCTTATCTAAATAGGATGGTTTACAAGAAAAAGTCTGAAAAATTAAGATGTTGTCACTTCCGTATTATAACATTATAACAACTCTTTATTTCATCAGTTCCAACACTTAAAGCTTCTTAAAATAGATTTCATTATTGATATCAATGGAGTCTCATGCTTACAATTTCAATACTTCAACGTTTGTTTTCAATATTTTCTTTTGTAAGCAGAATTTCTTCGAAAAAAAAAAAAAAAAAAAAAAACTGAAGTGGAAAAATGTTACTCAACGTTTTGCAATAATTTCTCATAGAAGAAGAGCGTTAAAAACCGGAAATATATATTTATAAAATATAACCGAAACATTGGTGAATGAATTGAATTAATGGTTTTAAAAACCTTAATTGACATGGATAAGTATGAATAAATGAATTATTTATCATCAACCGCATTTGGTTTTTGCGTAAACACTTGAAAATGGCTATTCATTCTGCGAGTGACATTTATTTTGATCGTCCGTAAGATGTACGTGCTTTGCTATATAGCCTACATATACGTCCACGTGATAATCACGCGATAATAGATTCTATGGAATTTTACGTTCTACTTTTTGGTAGACTTTAAAAAAAAGAAATAATTTTTCAGCGTTATCAACAAATAACTAAAGAAATATTACGAAAATATTAAGGATTTCAATGCAATCATTTTAATCTGATTGAGCAGCGTGCTGCTGTGGTGATTTTCCATAAAATTACAACCTATCCTTCAAACATAATTCATTATGAAAATAACGGTAGAGGTCTTAATCTCTTTATATAATGCATATTTAAAATTCCGATGTGAACATGATACTCGGATCTTAATGATGAAATAATCGGATTATTTTACTGGGAATGCATAGTGATTAAGATAAGAAATTTTATGAATGAACGAAGTGTCAAGATATATATATATATATAGTAACTAATTATTGTAGAACTATTATGGTTACTGTTTATTAGAGACGTCATTCCTTCCATAGAATCTTAACTACTTATATTATTAAGCTTTCTAACCGTTACACCCTGTATTGATTGAAATATGAGTTACCTTTAAGCCTAATCTATTTATCATGAACGAACTAACAAATTTTATGTGAAAAAAAAACGAGACATCTGGCTACGTTACAGTTGAATGAATTTTCTATTCTAATTCTTGATCTATAAACGTGAACGAATATGTCAAATGTTTTAAATATAGGTGCGACCTTTCTAAATTTGGCAAGAAAAATCAATCAGAAAATATTTTAATTACATCTAATTATATGAAAGAATTGGGCTTGTAACCGGAAATTTAGGGCAAGTTGTGGGCGTTGACGACTTCAGTTAACCCGAATGACCTACAATTAAAATTCTTGAAATTAATACATTGTGATAAATATATTTCATATCTATTTTTTCTATAGATAACAATAGAAGACCTAAACAATTATTGGTGTTTATAAACCCTAACAGTGGTAAGAGACGAGCCGTTAAGGTCTACTATAGAAAAGTCAAACCAATATTTGATATGTGTGGTATTCAGTCAAATGCTATAGGTAAGAATTTTAAGATTGATCTATGCGTACCAAATGCTTTTACCCGTGTGTAACCGACTGCAACATGCTTTTTCACGGAAGCATCAAGTCAAACCAATCATGGCCGTACACTTTACTTTCCAAATATGGAAATGAACGTGCAGAGTCACGTGTCAATCGCGCGACATGCACAACATAATATTGGCCTGGCATTGATAAAGAGTTTATCGCAGTGCATTTAAAGAAAACCTTTGTTTCCGACGCTGCACACAATAAACTTTTAACTGATTTTGAATCCGTAAGAGCAGAAACAACATTCTTTAAATAGTGTGGGTGTGTGAACTTCCAGTGAATGATAAATAAAAGAAATCTAAAGTATACACTGGCGAATCCCATTCGTTTATTTTGTTCTTGAAATTATATTGAGATTAACATCTTTTTATTGCAGTAACCAAAAAACCTGGTGAGGCCAAAGAAATTTTACAGAAGTACGATCTATCTTTAGTTAACGGGTATGTGTTATTTATTCAATATTATTTAAACAAATAACATTGCTATAAATGGCGATAGGGATCTTTCTTGACGATATTCGTTTTACCTTCTTAACAATTAGAACATGTTATCAGTGTCAATATTAAAGTGATTACAGACAACTGCTATAGTTATATATAGGTATCAAGTTAGGCCAATAGGTGTGGCCTTGTTTGTAGTATGTATAACGACTAAAGCGCGAGAATTGACGAGCCTACACATCTGGACGAAAGAACCTTCAAACAGTTCTCAACAATCGCATTCTTATTGACGTCAAGTTACAACCACCGAATGCCACAGATTAGTTGAAGCTTGGACAATATTTACTTTTAACACCATTTTACTTGTTTTGGTGATGTCGCGTAACCTGGTGCATACTAAATAAGCCTGTGAATTTGATTGATAGGTAGCACATGGGCTGTACATTTGGGAAGTTTTTTGTACTCATAGCTAGTGGTCCTCACGTTCATCTTTATTAAACACCTTGAAGTGTCAACTACTTGTCATATTTACCTACTTACTCCCACAGTTTTGACTGACATATTCTCTTCCGAGTTTGCGAATAAACTTCATCACCTGTGTTTTATGTTCACATCAAACGTTTGGGACATTCAAATACTATTATTACTATAGCCATAATAATATCACACAGGTCAAACGATAGATTCTAATTGGTCGACTTGAATGACGTCACTCTAACCTTAACGTCAATGAAATATGACTGATCTCTTCTGCAGGCGGCTTTTAATTTGTTAACCTTCGACCAATACACTCTTCTGACAGATAATAAAACAAATTAAGTTGATCTTTATACTTTATTTTTGTATTTCTTTCTATTCTAGAATTATAACTGTCGGAGGGGATGGTCTATATTGTGAGTGCATGACTGGATTAGTACTCAGAGCCCAGTCAGATGCAGGCATCAAGTACGACTCGCCTGAGGCTAAGATTGTCGCATCTGCCATACCCATTGGTATAATTCCGGCAGGGTCTGGTGATTACATAGTACAATATTTACATGGTACCAGAGATGTTAAGACGGCTGCTTTACATGTTATACTAGGTAAGTAAACGATTAATATCACTAACGCCATTTAGAGCTTCCAGATAACCATCCGAGGAACACCAATGCTTTGACGTTATAAGATCTATGGTGTATACTATTCGCGCTTGCTACAACAAAAGTTGATCAGGTAATTGTTTTATTTTTGTAGGTCAAAGAACGGATGCTAATGTTGTTGGAGTCCACCAGGGTGGAAAGTTAATGGCGTATTCTGGCTTGTTGTTGGGGTTTGGTTTGTTTGGCGACATCATGTACGATTGTGAGAAGTTCAGATGGATGGGTGCATCAAGATTCAACAGTAAGCACATCTTATTGAATTTTTTTACCTCATAAACATCAACATCAAACATCAAGCAGTGGGTTTGCAACCATGACTTTAATTGATATATACCAAATGAACATTACAAGCTATGTATCTTTGGAAATGACGCATAATGCAAACTCATCAGTTGAGGAAGCTGCAGACTCATTATAAAATTAGTTAACGCGTTGTGTTGTTTTTCAGTAATACCGGTTGGGACTGTGCTAAGACGCCGAGCTTTTGATCTGGAAGTTGAATATCTTCCTGCTGGGGGAAAAGAATGGCAGAAAAGTGAAGGAACCATGTATGGAGTAGATACCTACGTGGTTTCAAGAGTTGCCAAGAAAGAGAAAATGGTGCCACATTTTGGAGATGATGCTATGACTGTTTACCTAACCAGTAAATGTAGCTTAAGTAAACATGTTAAACAATTGGCTCAAGTACAGGACCATAAAGCTGGTTGTGTAAGTATTTCTATTTTAAACATTTTCCCTCTTTAAAACATTCAAGTCATATTTCACATATTTGTGTGTAGCAATTTAAAAGGAATTTTTGTACGTGATCAATGGCTATGTAAGTCAATAATCATATAAAATCAGGTAGCGTTTACCACAAGGTATTTTATCTATAATAGTGAACTATAAATATCTGAATGTTATCGTAATTTATATCTTCCTCAAAATTCTCGAGAATGTCAATAAGACACAAGATCAAAACATTATGGAAATAGTGCAAAATCATCGAATATTTGAGCAAAAAAAAGCGTTGATAAGAGCGAACAATATACTTGTTATTTTCAATTGAATCCGTATGTATGGTGTGAACAAGAGGTCTAAAATTATTCACTAAACGATCGTGGGATTGAACTAGACCAATGAATAAAAGAATTTACATAAAGAAAATAAAATAGACACCGCCCTAACGATCATTATAGATCAAAGAATTGTATAGATTTTTAATAGATAGGACTAGAGCTTTATGACTTTTTAATTTCTGAAGTATTCAAAACAGTTTTGTTCTTTTCTTTTATTACAGTTTGACCATGATTTCGTCCAACAACACCGAGTCGATGGATACAAGATTCGTCTTACAAGAGCACTTTCAACCCAAAACGATAACGGTGAAACAGTGTTAGAAGACAAGTACTATGTTAATTGTGATGGAGAAGTATTGACATTGACTCATCTAGAAATAGAAGCTAGGTTCCATAGAAATGTTGTACAGTTGTTTGGACAAGCAACAATATAAAGAAACAATGGAACAGCTTCCTGGTATCCACAATGTTCCAAGTCTGAAATCTATATTTTGATTTCAGCACGATGCTATCACGCCGAGTTCAGAGCTGTAACAGCTGTAGGAGGTGAAGCAAGACGCTCGTAACGCACAGTTTGTACGCCAAACGCACTTAAACGTTAAACGCACTTGTTGGAGAATACAGTTTGAAAGGGCCATTAATACGGTACTGACGACAGTCCGTGGTCGGTTAGAGAGTCGGATGTGAAGGTATCAACGTATATTTATTGCATGAATTATTATATATAGGGTCTCGATGGTTTATTCAATTGTCAACGATGGTCGGTAATCAGCCACGCCCTTGAGTATTTTGTCAAGAGCATTGTAACTATAAGTGATTTATGCTTTTTTATTATCTTGTTTATATTTGTAATATATAATTTGTACAACTATCAGTGTATCATTTTGTAAAATAAATACCGGCAGGCAAATATTTCATTATTCATCTTTTACTTTATTGTTTAAATCCGATTGAAGACATGACATGTTGTGGTCTGGAAATTATACAACAGTGAGGTTATCGGACGAAGTGCGGAATGACAAAAAGCTACTAATAGATGATCGCACTCGTAATCTTTTCAAACCATTTCGCCGGAGTTTAGATTTCAGTTGTCGTGAAATTCACAAGATGTCAAAGAATTTCTTACAAAAATGAATTTCATCTTTTTGTACAAATGTTACATATTTAAGAGAATGCACACGAGACCTGGCCCAACTAAATACACATGTACCACTTGGCTTAGCCATGTTTATCCTTAGCCTCTTGAAGTTCATTGAAACAAAGGACATCTCCTGATGATACTAGAATGCCTTTCTGCTCAATTTCCATTTGCTGCAGGATGACGTGTATTTGCGTAGTTTGACCTATGCACACGACACCAGCCCGGACCATTTCCTTATGGATTTACACTGACTTAATGACAAATCTACAAACTCTACCAAAATATTTAAGGCGTTTAAGGAAATAAACTTAATACTTTTTTCGCTCATTAAAATATTAATGAATAATGGAAAATTTCAAGATTCAAAATTCATTCATCTAATATAAGATAAGACCTTTTCCCAAAATAAACACAGATAATTTTGGAAACTCAAATGTCATCAAATGAAAAAAAGGATTGATTCATGCTTTGTTTTAAAAGCTTTTTGATAAAAGCAGGAAGTAAAACGTACACCTTGTCTCAGACTACTTAATTTAAAAGTGGGCGTTGTTGAACATTATGTTTGACACAATAACAACGAATCGTTTGATGTTGGGATCTAACATAAATTATCGGATGGATGATAAACATATAGTGTGATAGAAAAACACGAAAATCATGTTAAACGTTGACAAACATTTCACTATCTCTTTAATAAAGAAATACTATAAAACGAGGTTCATGCTCTCTGTTCACTTTGCTCGTCTCAAATTATGCAACTGTCTTCACGTTTGAACTATATTTTGATGATTGTTAAGCCATTACAACTTCGTCTTATCTGGACTGTAATAGCCACCCTGTATCTCGGCATGCAGCCGTGAATTATACGCTAGCGAATACAGCTAATCCTATGGCCTAGTGTTTACAGACTTTCTGTCAAGGACTCTGATGGGCCAACGTACAATCCAACCAAAGTGATAGGAGAAAGTTGTAAGACGAAGTTCGTAACAGCTTGACATTGTGGGGATGGGTAAGATACGGAGATATATTCCACTCTGTCTCAATTAGAATAAAATGAACTATGGAAATCAAATTCTGAGAATCAGCTAAGTTTCTGTCTAAGACAACCCCAAAATTGCACACTCCTCTTCGATTTATGTTTGTGAACAAATGTGCTTATGTTTCCAGATTGGATGCTTTTCACCCGTAGACTTTCCTTAATGCATCTCAGTCTGATCCGGATACATGATCTAATTGCGTGGATGAGTAGTGCCAAACTGGAAGCCAAATCAGGGACACTCTGTCAAGATCTCTCGTGCCATTTCATGAAATTTCAAACGAGTGGGATCAAAATTGCAGGTGCAATATGAGGTGCCAGTCTCTGGCTATGTGTGCATTAAGATGGCTCTACCGTCTTTTTAACTTTTATAAGGGTTCATTTGTGTCATTTCGCCACAGGTTTGCAAATGACACCCAGGGAAGTAGCATCTCCGGAATGGTGAATGTGCTTTGAATTTCGTCTTAGACTTTGACTGCAATAGCAGTGGCCGACCGACTGTATTCTCTTACGTACAATCCAACCAATTCGCTGCATTTACAAACTTCCGCGATACAATAAAGGTGGTGATTGCAGTCATTGTATAAGATGCATTTCGTAAGGGTTTGACATTGTGAAGATGAGGGAGTAGAGATGCAATCTTAATAGGGAATAAACAATTTTCGGTCACCTTTTTCTTAGTTTAGCAATGATGTACCTTAATATTTTTAGCCACCCTTAGCAGAAATAATGGTGCTCAACCGAGATCGCAATTATTCATAACCCATAAAGGACGGCTGGTAGCATTCCCTGCTATATTAATGTAATGCATGATTTTTTGCTGCAGAAGTATATACAAGAAAAACTATAAATTTTAGTATTTTATACAGTAGCAGTACGTAAATAATTAATCAAACATAAACATTGTGTAAATATAGTTTGTAATTCTATCCACTTTTCACTTTGATTAGAACATAATACATCTAATTCTTCTTGTACTCTGATTTCATTGGATATTACTTCAGCATGTAACTGGAAAAGAATAAAAAAAAAGATGTGTTAAGGTGCAAATACACAGGTTCAGAACATGTAAAGAGCATGAGGCAAGCTCTTCCAATTTTATATGGTGTTAACCCTTTGAGTGTCTGAAAATAAAACGTCATAATGGCTAGAAACCACGCTAAAAAGCTTAATCATAAGATGTTAATCTTATGTGACTTTGAATGTTGAAAATGATACCTTTAAAAATAATCCGAGATAAGCTTGAGCGATTTCAAAATTTTTATTAGTTGATAAGATATAGTTGATGAATTTGACAAACTGGACCATAATATCTACACTTCCTCCACCTTCAGGTACTAAACTTCTTATTTCAACTTCAATACGTGATGGTCCTAATTCTTTAAACTTGTTCACAATAGTTTCATCTACAACATAAATATCTCACATTTTACAACACTGTAATATTATACAATTTTCCCCTGATTCTATGGACTGCTGCATTAATATTTCCATTGAGTATAACATATTATGGAAATATTAAGGTAATGGAAAGAAATGACAACGGGCCAAATTGTGCTGGCTAATATTTATTCAGTTATTATTTCAGGTACAACAGAGTTGTGTCCCATGTTTCTCAAGCACACGCTTCAGAATTTGACGATATATCATACTTTTTAGTATGAATAAAATTGAATAAATTGTAGAATGCTGTGTAATAGTCTTTCTGGGATATTAAATAGCATATTCTTGTATCCTGTCTTTAAAAGTAATTACAGTGAAGTAAAGTATATAAATTGATAAAAATATAATGACTTACAATCTGAGTTGGTCTTTGCCTTTGACAAACTTAATCCTATATCTGATAGTGGTAATAATCTTCCTTTTAACAAATGAGAATCATCCTGTAGAGAAAAGGTAGGCAGTGACACACTGTAAATACATATAAGTTCTCAGTGATGTCATATGTGAGATTTATAATGATTAATTTAGAAACAGATATCAATTCTATTTATTTGACTGAAAATGCATTGTTATACAGTCTATATTGCATTCTCAGTTATACACAAAGAAGATATTACATGACCATTCTTCTTGAAAACCTAATTCCACTCTGTAGCTGGACTATTAAGCATCCGTTCAATCCGTTTCAGAGAATCCAACATAACTTCAAGATTTCATACTTAATATATCAGACTAGAGATATTACCTTATCATCTTTGTTTTCTTCATTGATATCAAATGTAGGCGTTATTCCTGCAATTGTCTTCAAGAAAAATGGTGCAGCTTTTCCTTTCTTAGGTGGTTCTTTAGGTTTATTTCTAGACTAAAATATCAAAGGAAAATTTTGACATTATTGAAGCAACATTCAATTGAACATAATTCCATAAAGATTTCTGTCAGATCATGAATGTTATAACACTTCATGTTAATCAGATTGTGAAATTCAACTATTCAGATTCTTATTAAGTGCCCAGGGCAGTTTAGTATCAGACCTTACCTGGTGACATAAATATTGTATAGTAGTTTCACCTCAAAACTATTAAAATAAGAGAAGTTGAACCCACCCACAAATTTGAACTAACTTGAAACTAAATTCATACCTTGATAATGTCTAATGATAATAAATTCTGCCATCTTGAATTGGGTAATAATGATAATGTAACTAATTCATCAGCTATCTGTTCAGGTGATTTAAAATCACTAGATAAATATTCTTCTTCTTCATCATCAGAACTATCTTCTCTATCTATAATGAACAGTAGAAATATTAAAACAAAACCTGAAACATGTAACTCAGAGTTTCACACTGTGAGATCTTCAAAAAACTGACCTATTTCAGCTTGCTGTCTACTGAAGTTCAACAAATAATAAAGTTACAGTGATGCCAATCAATAATTTACAGTCATCTTTAAGGTAATTTAATATTATGTTAAAATAAATGCATCTCTACTACAGCCAATAACTGTCAAAATATTTATCAGTGGCTGGAATAGAAGCAGATGTTTCAGACTAGTTCCAAGCATTTTGGCCTTTTAATGGGTGTTTAAAACTTTCACAAACCTTCTTTTTCAACACTGGTTCCTGGCATTACTAATAGTTTGGGTTCATAGAATTCCTCCAATGGTCGTAACGAAACAAAGGAATATAAAGTTAAGTTAGACCATAGATATACACCTAGATTATCTACATGGGTAGTAACTAGGAAATCTCCAGTTGGTGACAGGCTTACTGATGTTACAGCTGAATCCAACAGAAAACAGTCTACTAATCTGAATTATTAACAAAACAAGCTTATCACACTTGTAAATTGACAATATAATTTCATATAATAAGCCCAATATGTAATCTAGCTGTCTTGAAGATGGTTTATATATCCAAACAAGACAGTAACAGCCATAGTGTTTGTTTATTTACTATGCAAATGCTCCATTTGGTAGGGAAGAAAAGACAATACTATACTATATGATTTTATATGCAATCCGGGCAAAATTCTAAACATAAAATACAAGCAGTCCACATGATAGTTAGGTAGTTTAATGAAGTAGTAATGAACACAATGTAAGCAGATTGAACCATTTCTATTTCTTTTCATCTATGTTTTGAATTAGCAGATGTGCATAGATATCTCAGCTGGACTATAGTTGAAAATATGGTCAAGTTATATACTTTGTCTCACTTACTTTCCAGTAGGTAAATCCCAGGTTCTCAGACTAGCATCCATAGCACCACTTATTAACCATCTTGCATCAGGACTGAATGTCTGTTAATAAGAATGCAATGGGATTAGTTAATATAATATGTTAATCCTGAATTTTCAATAAGTATTTATATTCCACCCCACAAAAAACATTTATAAAAGAAAATGACGCATTTATCAACTAAACCATTCCAATCCTTATTTTCATTCTACTGTGCAGATATAACATATATCACATTGCCATTGGTCATTATTACCTGTGAGAATGTTGATAACAGCACAGAAAAGACGACAAACAAAATACTATGAATCAAGTTTAATAGTAAAATACCAACCAAATCAGTGACTCTATTACTGTGACCCTCAAACTTTCTAACTTCTCTATGAGTATCTATATCAACTATACTAATAGTAAAATCATCTAACACCACAGCTAACATAGAACTAGAAATAAAACAATAAAATATTGCTCAATAGTATTATTGTATGAAGCTCTTTATTATTAATAGAGCATTGTCTTTTTAACTGTTTGAAAATCAAAATGATAGGACAAGAAATATATCATATAAAAATAGCCTACCTTTCTCTATGTAATAATATTTGTGATATATCTGTAGATAGAGATATAGATTCTAATAGTTTTGGTTTATGAAATTTCCAGAATTTGAGAGAACCATCAGAACCAGCTGTTATCGTCTGTTGATTTAACCCATCAACAACTACACCTCTAATACTACATGAGTGAGCTGAAAATAGAATTAAGCATCAACAACTAGACCTCTACTGATACTTTATGTATGAGCTGAAAACAGAATTAAGCATCCTTATGATACCAATTGGTTACATACATCATACAAAACTATGAGATAATAGGGCATATATCACTGCATAAAATACATTTCAATTGTTCATATCATTATTATCTAACTTTTTCAATATTTTATATCACTCTAAGTGAACATATCTGACTGAATGGTCACTTGAGATAAATAACATCATTACCTTTATCAATACCATATGACCCTCGATATATACCAGATTGTAAGTTATATTTATCAACATGTCCACTACTATACCCAATTAATACAAAATTACCACATAATGTTATATTCACAGCCTGAATAATACAAACATCATTCAATAACATAAATAACAAACAATCAGATAGCATTTCAACTTCAATCATCCCAGGGTGTAAAGTATATAGTTATAAATCTGAATAAAATATAATACTATAACTTCCAGAACTTTATCAACATTCTCAAATGTATAACCAATACATTGAAGGTAAATCTTTACTTACTGTGGCTGTAACATTTTTATACAAAGATGGCTCATTATCAAATCTTTCATGTTTAAATTTATGTTTTCCCATGGTAGATTTCTGATAATTCCATGTTGTTGTTAATGTTAATCCTCTATGACATGATACAATATTATCCCACTCACTTTCTCTGCTACTCTCTACAAATAACACAAATAAACCCTTTATAGTTTTTTGTATCTGAAACATTTATCTGCATCATGAGATAAGCCCTACTTCCTAGCTGTCAATCATGTATCTGCAGCATAAGTTAGAAACTTTTACCCAAACTAGCTGACATGATCAGGATTTTATATCTAAAACATGTGTCTTCAGCATGATTTAATCATTTATAAATTAGAATATCTGACTGTGTCCAAATCTTTGCACATCGAAAGAAAGTGAGGACCTTTTAGCACTCTGAAATATATCATAATATAAGATTTTCAGTAGTGATCCCTATGAAATACTGAATATTTTCGATTCATCAAATATATCTTTCAGTCATCCATATTTCAAAGAATCAAGTCATATTACCAGCTGTAAAGTCTGTTATAGGTGGCATCATATATTGATCTTTCTTTAATCCACTGTGTTTACTGGCAGCTTTATCAAATGAGGCTCTTCCAAGATTTTTATTATGTTTATCATGAATGGTAGAGAAAGATCTTAGGGTACTGTCTTGACCTAAAACATCAATCAAATAAAATGGAGTCCTGCATAACTATTCTCTGCTCCTGACTTGGCTAATGAAGACAGGTAACACAATGAAGTATGCAATGGGGGAAATTGTGCCAAGATGTCAACATCATTTTTCATTGTAACTGTCAAGGGATCTTTTATGTTCAGAGTCTGCAACACATAGTATCTTCATCACCAAAGTGGATACTAAAACTCCACAAAGTAGTGTCTCCTCTTATAACTGGATCAGGGAATAAACCTCATGATGCCTAGCAGCTCTTTCCTTAAAACTAGTCACAATTAAGTCACAATTTAGCTTTTGGTTTTAACAGATTACTGTTTTACCTTAATGCCACTAAAAATCAAATAATCAACATACCTGCGCTGAGTATATTATGTCCTTTGTTATCGTAATGTAAAACTTTATTTGGTGGTGCACTATGACCTTCTCTAAGACGTAGTAATCTACCAGAACCATCAGGCATATCAAAAATCCACACCTACAATCAACAAGGAATAGTCAGTTTTAAAAAATTGAGTCCTAGTATGATAAATTATTATCTGTCAAGTTTTATCATGATCTGATAAAGAAGATACTCGAATGGCATATCATCAAGCATTGGGATACAGTACATAATAGAAATAGATATATGTTCAACGGGAGGCTAGGTAAACTCATGCCAACATTGATAAAATGAATTTAACAATAAATAAATATAGGTATACCTTCAGTGTATTATCTGCTGCAGATGTCACCATTAAAGGTTCATTTTGTAAACATTTCATACCAGTCACTGATGTATGATGACAATCTCTCATCTGACATTTCAACTTTCTTTCTTCTAAATCCCACAGAGATATATGACCTGCAGAACTTCCAGTTAACATAATAGGATGACCATCTATCAATTGAAAACAAGTTATCTTAATATTCCTACTTAAAATTGCTAAATTTTAAACTATCACCCAGTATCTCTATTTTTGAAAACAGCCATAGTGACCAAAAGGAGATAAATATGAAATCATGAAAACATTGCATAGTTATTACAATACTCATACCTGTTCTAAATGATACAGATGTAACAGGGCCCCACTCTTGGCGAAATTTCACTATGGTTTCATCGTATTTAATATTATGTACCATGATCTGCCCATCTTCTAAACCAACAGCCACTACATCTACTGCAGGTGCCTTAAACAACAATATATACCTATCAAAACAAAAGTTCATTTACCAGGGAAAACAAGGATACAACAGTGCCTAGATTTATCTATAAAAAGTGTAGACATAGATACAGAGTGAAAATTGTTGTAAAATGAATGACACTGGTTTGAATCTATGCTTAGGTCTATGCGTAGGTGAAATGAACCTTTTCTGAGTTTGGCCAATATATGAGCAACTATCAAAGATTACTTAGCATTTCTGATGACTGCTCAAAACATAAACACCAAGAGTCTGCCTTCATTTTGATAAAATTAATTCAAAACTAAAGAAGGTAAACCTATTTTTCAATCATTACTGTTTAAGATCTCTAATACTAAAGTGAACTACTCGTGTTTATGTTTTGAATTGTTCTTTGATGTATTTGATAACACTAGATGTACTAAGAAGATGCACAAGTAAATTACCTGTTGAAGAATGTTAATAGGTTGACCCCATCCAGTAAATGAATACAACAATTTATCATGTTTAATATTCCACAGCTGCATGACACCCTGTCTACTACCTATTAATATTTTATTTAAATAGGTTGTGGGATGTACCATAGCTGATATCTTGAACTGACTGGGATCAAAATCCATCTCCAAATATATTTCTGAAGTAAAATAAGTATAGATCAGAAATTTAGATTGCAAACATGAGAGAGTACAGAGTACACATAATTGTAATGATATTAGTTAATAATAATTAATCATAATTATGTAATAAACTGCCATAAACAGTCCATATGTAACAAAAAACAAAAAGTTGCAAGGCTGTCAACTTGTTTAGAGATCACTTCAAACAGCAGATACATATTTCATGACAACTATTTTAGGAAATGAAGATCAGTGTATCACAGTCTCTAAGCATTTGTCAACAAACAATTCAATTTATTTAATGGTACAGTCAAGAAACTATAGGATTATGACAGCAAAGCAGTAAAATAACAATCTGCATTCTTAAAAATAACTAACTCAACATTTCACTCTGATATTTTCTAGAAAACTAGACATGCAAATATAATATAGACATCCTACCTTCTGTTCTGTAGTCCCATACTGTTACATTACTATCAATATCTACACAGATTAAATGATGCCCAAATGGTAGTAATAAACTTATATCTTTATCTTTGTTGACTAAGGTTTTAACTGCCTAATATAAAACAGAAATATTAAACATTATGGATGGATGGATGTTGACAAACCTAATAAGGGAGTGGCAAACAGCTTTCTTGAACATGAAGTTATAAGAATTGATTCTAAATCCATTTGGAACATCAATTTGATTTCTTTTCTGCTTGATCCACTTCTATCCCATAACCAAGTTGTTTCTTAGTTCCTTGGTTCAATAAGGAAGTGTCTGTGATACAGCTCACAAAATTCAAAATTTCTTCACATAAATATATGACAAATGAAATTCAATGAGAGATTGGAAAAAAAAGTATCATCTTTTTGGGAGGTTTGAGCTTCATAGTCAGCACTCAACGAGATAGTTAAAATGGTTAATTACCTTAGTTCCTCTATGAAAAGCTCTAACAATATTTTGACAAGCTGTAAATATTAAATTACCAGCCACTGCTAAACAGGTTATATCATCTGGATGAGCATCACCTAGAATATGTTATGTCAAAATCAATATTCTGTATTGATCCATGAGCTTTTTCCTTCTTCAAAAATATCACTAGATGTGATATATAACAGACTTCATGTCCTATGCAATTTTGGTCTCTAAGGGTGACAAATTATCTAAAGAAAAAATCAGTTCAAAAAGGAGACAATACATAATGTAAAAGAAAAAAGTTGTCATTATGCTATGATTACTTCGACTGTCAAATTTACCTTCTATTAAAAGATACTTACTAACACTGATAATCGCCAGTTTTGAACACTGAAATGTACAAATATTCAATAAAAAAGATAGAAATGGGGAAGTTCACATGAACAAAACAAACAAGTACCCAACACAACCAATTATTAGTCAAGATCCACAAGTTAACAAATAAAGTAAATAGAAGACATGAAACGAGTTGACAATTCTCCATCAAAATTAAAATACTGAAATAATAAGTGCATTATACATTATGCTAAGAAAATTGGCTACTGTACGGTAGTCAAAAATACCTCAGCCCTTAGTTTGTAAACTTGGCAAATTGATGAGCATGTTTCCATTGCTTCATTAAAGATGCCAGAATGAGGATCCATATATAGACACCTAAGAGATTTAATTTGATCGCAATTGTTTTTAATTTTTTAATTGTCTACGTAAAATTGATAGATCTAGTATTCACCATTTCAGTTTCACTCTGATTCGTGTAACTTAAAAGTATTCTGATTCTAGTAAAAAAAATGCTTACATTATAAGTGTGGAATGCTTTCCCTACACAGGTGATGACATAATTTTCCTTTTCCTTGAACTTCAATCGGACCTCTAGAGGTACATGATTACTGACATAACCTAAAGCTCTAAAACCACAAAATATTTTACTTGCTCGTGGCATTTCTGAATCAAATTATAGTACTTATTCTAAAAATTGATCAGTTTAGTGAGAGTTTATGTTTGTTTACATTTTCCGAACATGTGCGTTTACCGAAAATGGGAACGTTACAGATATTGCGACATATTTAAACGAAGATCAATAACATTTACGACGCTTTTGATATGCTTCTAAGTTCATTCGAATTTATTTTTACGGTTATTTATCCGATTATTATCTGGTATTCTGAATTCAGAGGATGTCGCTGAAATATACATGCCGGAAGCGGAAGTGAAAACTGTCAAGTGTAAACAATAATTTTTAGAAGTATGATTATGATCATGAAATAGCCTATTCTACCCTGAAATTGATGTCATAGGCGTCGTAAACAGGGTGATTGAGCTTTAATAAGGTGTGAGCTGACTTCCTTTAATTTAAATATTGCTGACATCTAACTTGACCTTTATTTGAATTGACTTATTAATATTCCTTTAAAGATATCATGAAATTACAAAAACTGAAGAGCCCTTTCCTGGTGGCAATATCCACGACCTTTACTAAAAAAAATGAAAAGATAAATAAAAGTAAGTAGCCTATAAGATAGGTATTGGCATATTAGTCCTCACACAAACTCCAAATCTAGAGACCATGTAAGATGAGATGATTATTAGAGATAAAACATACCTACTACTGAAAGATAAAGTTAAACCTTAATACAGTGGTGTAACCTATTTTCGTGGATATAAGGATTCAACACCGAATTTCGTCAAAGTTAAAAAAACAAAAAAAAAAAAATTTATCTCTTAGATGTTTTCTCAGATATTCTACAAAATAATTAAAATTGGTTTATTTTGATTTTCTTTATGAATCCTTCACTTTGACACATATTTCATGAGCAACCAACTCGGCAACGGCGGCAGAATGCGTCACCTATTTTCGTGTACAATGTTTGATCTATAAATAAGTCTAGAAAAACATGTTGTATGGATACCGGGTGGTATAATTAACTTCTCTTTGTATTTATCTTTAATATCAATTCATTATAACTAGTGACAATTCCTTCACAGAACCACGATTTAAAAAAAAATAGAGACTGACAAAATATGATACGTAGCGTGATTTATTGCTAAAAGTCACTGAAACAACATAAGAATATGGTCCACTTTGTGTTCCATAGAAATTTTCCTCTGACACGGAATCCGCTAGTTGATCACGTGACTTCATTCGTTGGACTACATTCTAGCAGACGACACTTGGAATTCCGATTACCGCTTAGGATTATAAGGCAATTCGGCCGATAAAAAATGGTGACGTTTGGTAATAAGTGAAATCCGCCATTTTGTATTTGTCAAAGTATACATTAATACATTTGACCTTGCTTGAAACTACTGGATTCATTCTACTAGCTGATATTGTAGAGAAAACCCATGTTTATCGAAACAAACTAATGCTGAGGTCGCCCAAGGTCGCTCATGTAAATTATTAATCCTTTCCGGAAATCCACGAATAATAGGTTTCCACGAAATTAGGTTACTTGACTGTACTACAATACCTTGTGGTATTACAGTGACAGTGTTAGTTTGTAAAGAATTGCATACACCATTAGAGTATTACTTTGCCTGCTGGAAATCTTTTTTTTGATACCTTGAGATCTTGATTCTGGCCTTGCTTGATTTTGATTTTAAGTTTAAATAAATATAATATAATTTCAGATGAGTTTGTGCAGCTATACTAAATGTTTCTTTGATACAGACTCTATAACATGCCATCAGGAATATTGTGAAATTAAAACTGTTATTCCTAAATCAGTTCAAAGGATAATAGATGAGAAAGAATTGATGAGCAAAAAGGAGAAAAAGATATTTTATGTCAAATGGTCTAAACAAGGGGAGGCCAAACTTCATAAAGCTTGCTGGGACATTGTACTTAAACTCTCTAGACAAAGAAGTAAAAAAGTTAAGAAAGGAGCTGTCTGTATGAATGAGGAAGAAAAACTACTTGTTAAAGAGGCAGCCAAGACGGTGGAGTTTTTTGACTCTACAGATAAAATACAGACTGAAGCAAGTAAAGTTGCAGAGTTGATTAGAAACTCACAGCACTGTGTTTGCTTTACAGGTAATACAAGCCAAATGAAAATATAAAAATCTTTGTTTATACGTAAAAGTATCTTTAAATATTAGAGAAATGTTTTTGGTAAGTGATAACCATAGAGTTATATAATAAAACTCTATGGTGACAACTGGTGAGGTAATGATTCAATAGACTATACTTCTTACTTTAAAGGTGCAGGAATTTCAACATCAGCTGGTATTGGAGACTATCGTGGCAAAAGTGGTAAATGGACACAACAAGATCAGGAAAAGATAACCAACTCAGTTGATTCGCTCTATCAGTCCACATCTACAGATTCAGGGAATTTAAAAAAACTTAAAACTGGTATTTTAGATTTTAGTTCACTCATTCCATCATTCAGAGAGAGGTTCTGTATCAGTCAGTTAGAGCAACATTGTGTCAGTCATTTGTTCTAATCTTGGCCTGATTTTGTAAGGAAACCCAGGAGAGATCAATAGAAAGAGGTTTGGCTAAGGACTAGCTGATGGAATATACCATCGTGTATATGTCACCACTCTGTAAAAGCTACAATGATATCTTATTTTGCAAATTATCTTGTTAGTATCCCTGATACACATACAATTTAAAAAAAAAAACCCATTTAGTCATTATTATTTCTTCAAAAACTCATCTTCATCCTCACTCTTTCTTCAGTATTCAATATTTTTCAGAAACATCCAATGATGGAAACAGTGACAATGAAATTGAAGATGATGGTGTCAACTACGAGGATCTGAGACCTACTTATACACATGAAGCCTTGCATAAATTAATAGACATGGGACTTATCAAATACATCATTAGTCAGAATGGAGACGGGCTTCACATCCTTTCTCAGGTACCTCCAGATAAAATATCAGAATTACATGGTAATGTGTTTATAGAGAAATGTGAACTATGTGGTCAAAGGTATGAAAGATCGTATTATGTAATGGATGATGAATGCAGTCAATATTTTGAAGATCTAGAAGATTATGGAAGTTCTGAAATTAAAAAGCCTGCTCATGCCAAACAATGTCATTTATGTGGTTTGAGTCATAGGACTAGTAGAAGATGTACTGAAAAGGTAACAATGAATTGAATGTCATATATTTTTTGTAAACATTATGCCAAATACTAAGAGAATAAAACTCATTCTGTTGACAGAAAACAGCAATTTGAAAAAAGCATTAGAGAAGTTTTAAAACGCTTTGAGCATGTTAGGTATTTTTTGGGGCGTGTCAATATATGATTGTGTTCAAGCGGTTTTCATTCATCATATAAGAAAATGTCATGATACTTGTAGATTATAAAGTTTTGAAAAATTGTTTTGCCAAAATAAATAATGTCAATGTCAGATTACTGCAATTGGAATCAACTTGTCACAATTTATTTTTACATGATGATAATATATGGTATGAAGCAAATGTAAAATATATAATGGTACACAACTAGATCATGATATCAATTACTACTTGGTGAAACACTTATCTCAACTAAATGTTTTAACTTGAATCTTACAGATATGATATATTTGATATTTTTTAGGGTTGTAAAGGCTACCTGATAGACACTATCATCAATTTTAAAGATAATCTAGAAGATGAGATCTATAAGAAAGCTGAAGATCATGCAAGTAAAAGTGATGTAATGTTATGTCTTGGTACCACTTTACTAGTGTCTCCTGCTAATGAACTAGTTGAAATGACCAGAGAACCTCAAACTATTGTGATATGTAACAGGTTAGCCAGTTTATTTTGATGAGTTTGCTGACAGTTATATCTGATTGAATCTATGAAATGTCTGAGAGTAATTGTGAAGTTGGGGGTTATTGATAGGAGCCATATTAAACAGAAAACATGTACATCTGCATTGTATTCAGATTTATGAATTGTAGTAACAAATATTGAATTTCTCTAATTGAGATTGACATAACTTCTACTTGGACTTGCTGCTCAAAATTCTTTGGATGAGACTTTGATTACTGGAATTGCTTGTACAGATTTTTATATATGATTTTCGATTTTTTAGACAAAAAACACCATTAGACTATCTTTTTATCGGTAAGAGGGGAAACAATAAAACCAATGGTAGCAGAATGTTTGGTAATTGTGATGTATTTATGAAAGAAATGATGAAACATATATTAAATACAGAAGATTTAGAAAGTTGGGAGAACTGTAGGCTGGAGAGATTAGAACTCTATCATAAACTCAGAAAACAGCAATAGTCTAAATTTTAAAATAATAATATGATTAATATGATACACCTACAAAAATGAGTTTAATGGCAGCAGTTGGGACAACTTATTGACTTAGCAATGTTATATTTTCCTGGTTCTGCAACTTTTTTGAGAATATAGGTGTATTCCATGCACTCACTCACCATTATATCAGGCCTGTAATGTTGTTCAAGATGTTAAACTGTGATATTATAAATGATTTCAAATTGATAATTGTTTATTAGAGCAGACCCTAATATATTTTTCTAATAATGTTTTGATACATTGATAAACGCAAAATTTTAAATTTTTTTACTATTTTAAACTTTTATTTTAAAATAATACTATTTAATTATATGTATCAGGCCTAAATTGTTGCTGTTGTCTGGCACAATTTGTTTTGCCTGGAAATTACATGTTGGATTTTCAATTTGATTGTTAGTTTTTATTTAATTTAATATTTTTATGTATTTGTTATTTGATATTATTCAATGTATTTTTTGAATATTAAAAATTTATGGTGCGAAAAAACGTAAAACTCCATTCAATACTAATAACCAGACTTTAAAGCTATCATGTTATTATAGAGTTATTGATACATGGTGAATTAATGATAGATATTAATTTAGCCAACTGTGAATCCTGTCTAACTGAGATATATAAACTATACCATATTGTTGCCACTTAAGTTTTTGCCTAATGTTTCTGGCATATGAGTAGAACTCACTGGAGGGACATTGGCATTATACCTAAAGGACTAAGCATAAAGCCTTTTAACAAAGCGAAACCAACTTTATCGTAATCAGAAACAGTGTCTTGTTTTGAGAAACCTCAAAAGTCTCCAAAAAAACCTAATCAGTAACACGTCATTAACATCAATCAGTAGCTGACCAAGAAATTTGATGGTTAAAGTAAAAAGAAACCAAAATAGTGAATGTTTTTCCAAAAAAATGTGATATGTTCTCTTAATAATATTTGGAGTCAATTTGCAGTAGATGATCGGAGAGATCTTAAATCTATTTCATTTCCAATTGGTATCTAATGTTAAAGTCATAGATGCGCCATTCAGACTTTAGTCACATGAACGGAATTTATTAGCGTAGTCAATCAGTCAGCCTAGGCCTAATGGTGTTCACAGATCACATTAAAATTTTAGCCTTTAATCCATGTATATCCACATTTTTTTAAAAGGAATTATACAATTTTCGTACATTTCTAATTCTAGTACTTCTGAAGACAATGTACCGGTACATATCAAGACTAATATCGACCCCATCAAAATGGCACTGTCCCTTTAAATCCTTCATCAATGAAAGCGTTTTTCAATGCAGAAAGTATCTTAGTTTTAGTCTCTTGGCCCTAAGTGAACTATACATTACGACTCCATTTATCCTAAAACAAATGAATTATAATGAGAACTTGAAAGGTGAGCGTAGCTTTAATGTTGTCTACTTTCCACTGAGCCGTAACAACATTATCTCCCTTGTCAAAATGGCTGCCTCCAATGAGGAAATTTTGGAATATCATCCATCTGTTTCCAATATTATAGAACAAACGTCTTTAAAATGGATATTTGTAGGAGGAAAGGGAGGCGTTGGGAAAACTACAACCAGGTAAACCCAGTTAAATAAAGATACATGGTTTTCTGGCTCTCATTTAGTGACTTTATCGGTAGTGTTTACATTTTTTGCACTGAATCAGTGATTCAATATAGGGCCTACATGAAAAAATATGTAGACCTACTTAGACTAGGACTACTACCAATTTTGAAAGGTTTCTACCTAATTGTTAATGAGCTAAAATGCAGATCTAGATGTTATGTCTCTATAGTTTATTTACCTCCTACTAATACACTTTTCTATTCAATAGAGCATTGAATTTATAACCATTTTTTTTTAGAGAGAGGTCATTGCGAAATTTATACATGTATTAACAAATTCATATTTTTGTTTTTTAGTTGCAGTTTAGCATCACAGTTGGCACAACACAGAGAGTCAGTTTTAATAATATCAACAGATCCAGCTCATAATATCTCTGATGCCATGAATCAAAAGTTTTCTAAAACACCATCATTAGTTAGTGGTTTTACCAATTTATATGCTATGGTAAGTAGAAATATTATAACAAAACTTGAATCATGTTGTTACTCAGAGTTTCACGCTATGTGATCTTCAAACAACTGACCAATTTGCAGGAAAGTATATGAAATCGTACTATGTTTGGAAGTACTGATATTAGTGACATTCTTTATCTTAAATAGTTCGGATAAAATTTTGGGACAATTAATTTTGTATTCTATTCATCTGACTGAATTAATGGTTATGAATTAAGCTTCATAAGAGCTAGAGACTACAGGTTGTAATAGTTTATTTCTATCTTATGTATTTCAGGAAATTGACCCTAATTTAGGTATATCTGAATTACCAGATGAATATTTTGAACAGGGTGATATGATGAGTGTAGGGAAATCTATGCTCAGTGAACTGTTAGGAGCTTTCCCTGGTATAGATGAGGCCATGAGCTTTGCTGAAGTCATGAAGTAAGTAAAGCTTTTTCTAACCATGCATGAAACATTAAGATTAAGTCATATCTCTATCTTTTTATCAAAGATTTTTTTTATAGTATTTCATTTTAGCAGTATTTTAAATATGAACACAAATCTGGAGATTCATCTCACATAAAAAAGGTCATTTTGTTTGGTTGAGATCACCCCTCTAGAATACAAAGCTATAATGGTGGCAATGCAGTTAAATTTTTTAAAGTATCAATGACATAGAAGATTAGATAGATATACCCCTGCCTCAAATCATTTCAGCTTTAATAGCTGTCTCCCTTCTGATATAAACTCCAAATTTGAATATATGTTAAAAATGTTACTTGATTTACTGTTTCAGGTTAGTGAGGAACATGAATTTCTCAGTGGTAGTATTTGATACAGCCCCCACTGGTCATACATTAAGATTATTATCATTTCCTAGTATTATAGAAAAAGGTTTAGGTAAATTAATGAGACTCAAGAACCAAATCAGCCCTTTCATATCTCAGGTAGGGTTCTTAATGATTTAAAAAGATTATAAAAAAGGGGGGTTATCTCTTTCTATTTAAAAAAAATAAGCATGCTTCTTAAAGGAAACATTTGACTTGCACAGATATTCTTCTGTATGTGATACTGGTTGAGAAGCGGTCTCCACTTTTTTGGTTTGGCTATAACCTGAGGCTGAGACCTGTGTGCAAGAAGAGTTAATAATCCTTTAAAAATGAAAAAAACTAAAAGGCGTATGTTTACTGCTTACTGTTTGTAATTGTAACAAAATTCTTCTCACTGAAGTTATTTATTTCTATAGATTGGTGGGTTATTAGGTATGCAGGACATCAATGCTGATCAAATGTCTGGTAAATTAGATGAAATGTTAGCTACTATCAGACAAGTTAATGAACAATTCAAAAATGCTGTAAGTATGGAAGTTTGGAAGTATACTATGATATTGTAGGGTATTGAGTTATATGTTTCTTGGTATAAGTTTATGCAGTTATCACAGCTTTTGAAAAATCAGAAAATTTATAAGAGATTGCTGCTTTGAAATTGATAATAATAATAATTTATTATAGGTATTAAGTCAGTAAGACTTTTACACCACAACATATATACAATACAGTCATCAAAAACAATTGAAGATCATTTCATAGCATTTCATGAAGCTACAGGATTGTTATTTAATAGTTACCTCCCTTGTATTGTTTTTTTGTAAAAACATTAAAAGGAGTATGCACCATCTTAAAAGTAACAGAATTGTTTGCAGATGTATAGATATTTGTTAAAATTGTAAAAACATTCTTAGTGTTGTCATTAAGGTTATTAGCATGCTTTGATTCCAGCAGAGGTCAAGCTAGTACCTAAGAATTTTCAACCCAGATTTCCCATGTTTGTGATGCTGATCTTGAGGTAACAGGCATACATAAGTTAATTCTACTGTTCTTTTAAAATTTCCATCATTGCACAGTGCATGTCGTCACAAGTATGAATTAACTCTATAAAGTTATGATATAATATTCCTATGTACTATATTTTACATAAATGAAAATTATTGTTATTCCAGGATCAGACCACATTTGTTTGTGTTTGTATAGCCGAATTTTTATCCTTATATGAAACAGAGCGTTTGGTTCAAGAATTGACACAGTATGGTATAGATACACATAATATCATTGTCAATCAGTTACATTTTATACCTAAAGGGGAACAACCATGTAAATTATGTCGTGCTAGAAATAAAATACAGTCCAAATATCTTGACCAGGTTAGTACCACTTATTGAATATTGGAGTGTAATTTGGTCATAAGGTAGATTGTCAAAAGGTTTATTTGCCACAAGGTAATTTGTTCACTGAAATTTAGTAAAAAGGTAAATTGGTCACAAGGTGATTTGGTTACTGGAAATTTAGTCACAAGGTACATTGATCTCAGTAATACGGTCATAATGTAAATTGGTCATTAGGTGAATTGGTCACAGTTATTTGGTTACAAGGTAAACTTAACACATTAATTTAGTCTCACATTAAATTGGTAACATTAATTTGGTCACAGTACTTTTGATCACAAGGTAATTTGGTCACAGTACTTTTGATCACAAGGTAATTTGGTCAGTACTTTTGATCACAAGGTAATTTGGTCTCAGTACTTTTGATCACAAGGTAATGTGGTCACAGTACTTTTGATCACAAGGTAATTTGGTCACAGTACTTTTGATCACAAGGTAATTTGGTCAGTACTTTTGATCACAAGGTAATTTGGTCACAGTACTTTTGATCACAAGGTAATTTGGTCACATTACTTTTGATCACAAGGTAATTTGGTCACAGTACTTTTGATCACAAGGTAATTTGGTCACCTGAACTTGATTATAGTTTATCTAATTAGGCAATTAATTGTGTGACCAAAGCATTAACCAATTTATCTTGTGACCAAATTTCTGTGGCCAATTTACTTTGTGGCCCATTTACTGTGCAAATTAGTTTCATCTCTTCTTATGAACTATATGATATAAATAATTTAAAATAGACAAAGTAAATTGGTGCACAGTAATGCTTTAACAAAACAAAATAACTTGTATTTTCAGATTGATGATTTATATGAAGATTTTCATGTGATAAGATTACCACTTCAAGAAGAAGAAGTGAGGGGCGTGGACAAAATAAAAGACTTTTCCCAATATTTAATTGAACCTTATTCTGTTGATAAATAATGTTATTTATGTTGTGATGTGTTTTTTCTTCCCAATACCTATTCGAATGGACTTCACCTCCATTTATTTATTTGGCAAAGATTTCACTCCGTTATGAGGCCTTCTTTAATCATATTTACCTTGGTGAAATGTATTAGAATTATAATGAAGTTTATACTTTCAAGAGTGCATGAAACATTTCTAACACTCAGTAGTGTAGATACGCCACTGCTTTAAACTTCAGATTGTAAACATCTACATTCCTACGGCGATTAGACCAGGTGGTCGACAAACTTTTTACGTTCCCACGGCGCACCAACCACAAAATGTTCTATTGATGGCTATTGGCTTGACAGGGCGTCCACCGAAGATCTCGTGGTGCTAGGTTCTTACTAGCCGACCTCGAAAGGGAAATATGAAACATCAGTTTTCATATCAGATTGCCCAGGAAAAAAGAATGATCATACAAGCCTGGTAAACCGTGACATATGTCGAATGAAGAACTTTATAGGCACAGTGTAAAAAAAGAAATGCAATATGAGCACTCTGAGCTCCCAAAGAGAGACTCCGAAAGCATGTCTGTTAGGCGATCATTGGCTACAATGGTGACCATCGCGCCATATCTTTCGTTTCCTACTCGCTTAAGTCATCATTAACTTTGAGCCAATTTAGCAGCGCAACAGGGACGCTTTTCCTGTGTGACGAGAGTATTATTACAAGTATGATTCGAATTAAATTCTGAGGCGCTAGTTCAAAAACGTCTTGCATGCAATATTGCAAACATGAAGAATACTAATGGAATAGCTCGGGGTACGGACAGTCGCTCATCAAAGAAATGAGAAATAGGTCAAGTGCTCACCGGAATTTACATATTCAATATTTAATGCTTTTAACTGAGGATCATTAATAACAAGAGATCATCTTGTAAGAGTTCTTTATTATACGAAAGCCACAATCATAAAAAACCCACAACATTATAGCATTTAAATAGCATTTAAAACCAACATTCTATGATGCATAGATTTACATGTTTCAGTCTGATTGTGTTACCATACTATTTGAGGAAATCGAGAAGATAGTGCATAGATTCCTGAGGCGGTTTCTATGTCTGGTAGAGGACTCGTTCAAATCAACTCTTTGGTGGCTGACCTAGCTGGTTCTGAAGAATCTGTATGGCAACCATCGGCTTGTCCTTACACAAACATCAGAATCTACACAGAAGAGTAGCTGGAAACCAACATTCCCTGCAGTGGCGGAATTAGTTCGTCCTAGCTCCCGTACCTTACGCCAGGTATTCAAGTCAGATGATAGAATCAGCTTTGAGTGAAGACATGTGCCCCCAAAACAGCACATGTATATGCTGCCTTTTCGAAGTCTGTGATGATGGTAGTTGGATTTGCTTGCCAGAAATGAGAATGTAGACGCAGGTTACCGTGATAAAACCTTCATTAATTATTCACTGTTACATCAACCTTATGTTTCTATGGATCTTCTTAGTCAAATAGCATACATTTGTAAATTTCATTGTGAACGATTGTGAAATGATTGAAAATATTAATTCTACGCTTATTGTATTTTGAGACTAGCTATAATATTGCCCATGTTGATCTCACTTTGTTCCCTGATATCAATGAGTGCTAAACTTGCGTGAGTCTGTCAATCCATAAACGGATCTCAATAATCGTAGATTTCCTATTGTTTGTCAAATAGTAATGATAAATATCGTTAATAATGGTTGAAAGAAAGTCAGTTGTCAGTGTATTTGGAGAGTGTAAGTAAGGTCTGAGACGGACTAATCCGTTCATAATTATAGTTGAAATTTAATGTTGTAATCACTCTAAATGAATGTCTTAGTTATCACAGTCGGCCTTTCATGCCCTTTTGTTCTATATTTTATGGTCGATTGTTGAACGTTAAGCTTTATAGACTGTCATTATTGAGACAAATGACTTCATAATAGTTTATTCTCTTAGAAATCCCTTATCAATGAAAAACACGTATAGATAACACAAATTTAAAAGCTTTGATGGTCATTAAAAGTTATTAATAACAATCCCAAACAAGCGGTACTGCTGTACAAAAAGTCATTAAATAAATGATGTCCGATAGTTTGAAATAGACGCCTAGATTTACTGTTATCATTGTATCAAATACCTTGATGCACCGGCGAAGATGATGAACTCCCGGCAACTAATGTCCAAGTAGCTAATACATCGGCAGTTTTCTATGATTTAACGGCAACGGCATTCGAGTTGTTTCGTTGAACGTTATAAAAGGAAATGCTTCTATATATTTTGATTTGCCTATTCCAGCTCACGGCAAATACAAGATGTCTTTTCAACACAGTGTAAAATAAATAACACAAGATAATTATGGATCTATGGATTTATGTTTGCCTTCCTCTATATGTCTTACAAAGAACAGTGTAAAATGTGTATCAGTCCTACTATTGTTCACCATGTATCAGTGCAGTTGCACTAGCAATGTAGTGACTTGCCATCTGAAATGTGAGAAACCATTTCGGTGAAATAGCTTCTGAAATATATTTCCGTTTCATTTTTTTATTATTATTTTTTTTTAGTAAAGCCACTTAACAGTTGGGTCTAACGACTGGAGTCTTGAAAATTCACCAAATTAACCTTTTCAAAGTTATCAAATTTCTCCAATGTTGGCGATCAAAAGATGTATTTTCAGGAACAATAGAGTCATGAGACCTATTGCGAAGCACTATAGTAAAACAAAAAATAATAATAATTAAAAAAAATAAAATAAAATAAAAACCGGAAACGAAAGTTGGGTCTAATTTAATGGTCTCAATTGTTCACAAACTATTACATCTACTCAGGCACCTGCTATAATATAGGTGACGAGATCCAATAACTTGCCATAATTAACACTACAGACAATTTTCCACATGTCCGATCAGGGAAAAAATATATACCTGTTATATCTGTTATACCTGAAATACTATTATTTGATTATTGCATTTTCGTTCATTTCATGATAAATGATGGATGTTAACTAATTTTATTTCATATATTGTTCGATTTTGTCGGCATCTTGACTGTGATTCATGGATTAAAATTTGAATACATATGCTTACAAGTCAGTTTTTTCGTTTTCGCTTATTTCAAGTATCTAGAATCGACTTACATAACAACAATATTCATAGCCAGTGGGGTTTTGTGATTTACATACATTTTTTATTGCTAAATTTGTTGGCAACTAGAGAGATAATGATGGCAGTATTTACCGAGCTATAATTATTCTTTCCTTGGCTGTATCAAATTAATAAATTAAGTGTTGTATATCAAGAACATTTAGTGCATTATTTCTTAAATTGGCATGAATACTCTGGACTGATTTAACCCAGTTGGCATTTCCCTAAATATGATTGAAGAATAAATCTCAGATCGATGCTTTGTCCCACATTATCGTATATATATTATAACTAGTGTTCACATACTATTCGAAGCCATGTCTCTGGTGAATACATTTATATAACAGGTCACATTTACTTGGCAAGTGACCAAGAGTCCAATATTTAGAGTCTATTATTAATGTCAATATTGGACTTGTTGCCATTTGAAACCACATTGCCCATATTTGATTAATATTGACAGAACTTCAAGGGCCTGTGATTAGACTGGCATTTTAGGGAAAATGTCTGCCAGAACCGGAAGTCCCGTCTCCCAATGGTCTATAATATACATAAAAAACCAAAAAACCGTTTGCTGAAATAAGATCTATCAGCTGATAATACAAGATTGCATCGAATCTATTTAAATAATGCCAAGTTTATAAACTATACAGTCATAATTGCTTTCTCTCCTTGTTTCTCCAAAAATCAAAAACAAAATTCAATCCTTTCCAGAGACGTTCCTATGTGTTTCAAATTAAAACTAAATCATTGATATAAATCAAATGATTGCAGGCACATCTCCTTCAAAGTGCAAAGTACTTTCTCCGTTAACCATTCATGGCATTGGATAAAACTAGCTTTCGAATGAAAAAAACCACAAATTGCTTGAAATGTATTACACTCTGGAAGAGACAAGAAACTAACAGTAAAAAGTTGATCAGATTTAAAACATCTTTCGACAAAATCAGTTGAGTTTTATCGCTGTAAAACATCTATATGTTCAATGACATTTCTATATCAAGCCTTTGATCGAAGCAGTAGATTAAATAATTTGGTTCACAAATCCAGCTTTAAATTCGATTTGCACCAAGAGTTTATCGTGTTAACGTTGCGTGAGATGAAGTGCTGATGAAATGAATGGCTTTAACCCGTCAACCTCGTCTCTTCTCTGGTCAGCCGATGGAAAGAGACAAATCGATGTCAAAATTCTATTTATTTTCTTTATTGTTACAGCTATCGTTTCCCTATTTTCCACTTGGCAGCGTTTGTTTTTATATTACAAAGTACATGAAGCAAGTGGTCTAAACTTGATTATTTTGTTCACTGATTTTGTTAGCACTGTCATTCACTTAACCGGTTAACAAGCACATTGACACATATAACCTAAAAAAACTGGACCATTTCCGTCCTTTTTATTCGTAGAAAGACCTCATTTATTACCCTATTTATCTTATTTTAAGATACTATCGTTTGAAAAGAGAACTTGATAATTCATTTTATTTTGGTATGACATGTTTAATTTGAACAAACACCCACGAATTAAGTGGGTGCCAGACGAAAATCTATTGTAACCATTCCCAATCTTCTGATGCTGGTAATATTAAAAAAAAACATGAAATAGAAAGACCCTTCATATTTAAACAATGTATATTCACTATTAAGTTGCGGTACCAATCTACATCAAAGTTTGTAGGTTTTATCCTAAATAATACTCAGGTGTCATTTTAACTTGAAGTCAAATTAGCTTTTGTCTCAGCTACGCAGCATTTGGTGAGTTGGCACCTCATCTTGCTGAAAAGCCTTAGAGTATATTAATATGGATATAGATATAAATGCTTGACTGCTATACAGAACAGTCTTTACGAATTTTATTTTTTTCACCTGGGACTTTCTTCTCGCATAGATCGAGACAATATATCTTATACAATGTATCTTCTGGCTTTTTATCTCAGTTCCCCCTCTGTCGTGCAGATTGTATCCTCAATCAGTAGTTCATTTGGAATGACGTTGAAAACGGATGGCACAATTATCTAGTCCCGAGTGTCATAGACTGTTACGGTGTATTTTCCTTAATGGGAGCGGAGAACAGTAATCGTGGATTTCCATTGTTGTGTAAGTTAGAAAGGGTATCGGGTATCAATACAGTAGAAAACAGAATACAAGAAACGTGTCCGTATCAAATATTCGCCTTTTCTACTTTCTACTGTTTGGATAATCCCGCACCATATAACGAACAACATCTCATCTCCAAACCAGGGATTGTAAAGAGGTTTTCTACTATGTCTATCGCGGAACACAGGTAGAAATAATTTCCTTTTAAACTAAGCGTTTCAAGGCGTCTTATCGCAAAAACTGTCAGTTAAGTTTCGCTGTAATTATAGGAACCTTAGATGTCTGATGGAAATGAAATAAGTGCAAATGGAAGCCATATTAGCCAAGAACACAACATAAAAAATGTTAGAAACCTCCTTGATTGTATGGGTCCAATAACGCTATATCCTAATCCAAAAGATGTATAGGCCTATTTCGACAACCCGATTCGCAACCAAAACATACTAAGAGACGTGTTGGAATTGTGATAACATATCATTTATTTCTTCAATGAAATAATTTAACACCATATTTTTTTTCAGACAAAATAATCAATCAAAAGAAATCACTTTAAAGAAAACTAAACGATGGCAACAATATGACGAAACATCCCCTCAATTTACCCCTTGCTACCTAAGTCTGGTTTAAGATGTGATTAAAAATTGGCCAGCAGTAAACAAATACAATATAATCAAATGCTAATACATAGAAGATAAGTATAGATCATTGACAGCAAAAATATAATTCTAAATCAAGGATAAAATATGAAATGTACACAGATTGTTGTAAGACTCCCTCATCAATGAGCAAAATAAGCCTTTAAATAAATCATATTTCAACCTTCGATTCACAAATAAACAACTCTGTTTCTCGCATTTTTAATTCCTTGTTCAAACATAATACGACGATCGACATTCGTATGGTTATCTTTTTACTTAAGCTTAACTTCCAATTGAGTATACAGTCGTAGTGATATTCTTTGATATATTTTCTCATGCTTTACTGAAAGCATCCATAATCTTTGGCATTCCAATCTGATAGTGTTCATCTGTTTCTTACTTAGTTCTCAGTAGTCTGAGCCTTTTCTTTATAGAGGGCATCATAATATATATGAAACCAATTAAAATCAAAACCAAAGTTAAAAGTTTGGTTTTATGCGACATACAAGAACAAAACGTTTCATTGTTTTTTTGTATCATGTATGGTAAGTTTTATTAACCATAGAAGAAATTCAGGTACTTAGAGCATATTACTCTTTCGAATTCAATGGTAGTCTGACACAGGCACCGCTTGTCAAACAAAAATAATGACAAAAAACATACTGTAACATGTTTCATTCATTCGTCTTAGTTAAAGAGTTTTTTAAAGCCTTAAACGGAGAACTGTATTTTTTTTATATCATGCCATTTATTTCATATTAGAACAAGAACTCTATAACATGACTTAAAACGTCAAAAATATCGAGAAAATAGAACAATAAACAGAAACACTAATAGATGTAATGAAGGGCCTTTGTGTTGAAATGATACGATTTACACAAACATTTTTTTTAAACATAATGATTAAGCTTGGAACTTTTATAAGAACGTGTTGACCCAGGCATATATGACAACGTCGATATATCGGCGACATGGTCGCATCTGTTGCGCTGCCGATGAAATGTCACAACGACATGTCGCCGACGGATCGTAGGTGTCACACAAGCTAAATCATAACACATTGACCAAGTTTTTACAACCGATCAGGACGCGATATTGTCCAGCATTGCCTGGAACACACTCTATGTTGGATCTTGCAGGTTTTGAACTCCGACTTGCTTGAACTCGTTTTAGAACATGCTATAAAATCAGGCACACAGTTTTCCACGTAACAACCTGAAATAGAATGATTGTCATAGGTTACAAATATATTACTCTAAAAATAATCTGGTTGAAATACAGATCTAAATGTTCAGTTTCGTGTTTTTCCGACATATTACTTCTGTTGTCATCGATGATCTCACGATATTCTTAAATTGCATTGAAGCAAAGATTGGCCCAAAGCGTGCCTTTCTTTCAAATTCAAGACAACCCATCAAAACACTGTTAAAAGAACAAGAAAAATACAATCTAATGCTTAACGATGAACATCTTACAATTCTGCACATGAAGGTGGTCGAAAAAAAACCCGATAAAGTGTGTAAAGGGTTCTACTTGCTCATAACGGAAACCTCTGTAATTATGTTTTGAATTTTCTCGAGAAGACAGGTTGCTAGCACGGTATAATATGGCTCTTTCGTTTGCTTTGCACAATTACCTTAACTCAATAAATGCGGTTAAAAGGTTAAAAGATAAAATAAAAAAGTTCAGCTTTTATAACCACGTTTAGCATTCCAAGACTGTTAATGGTTTTGAGCACCTCATTATTTTCTTTTGTTCTGAGCATGTTTTTAAATAATAAGCATTTATACCGATTGTGTTTTTCTACAATCTACAAATAATACAAATTAATGTATATGAGAAGTGTTTTACGTCTTAATGTATTACATTTAAAAATCATTAAAAGCAATTAGAGATTCTTCTGTACCTGCTTTATTCCAATGCTTGTGCTAACTTGTAAGAATTGCCGATTAACATTTTGAATGAATTTATTTGTACAATTTCATACTATATCAATGACAATTTGCAAAAGCAAATAACAATAGATCTCCATTTGACAAAAATTCAAAAATGTTTCACGACTCTAACTGCCTTGAATATTAGACGAAATGTCAAATGTCAGTGTTGAACAGATTATGGACAGAAAGAGAGTAACATGCTGACGCAAACACAATTATAATCATATAGATCTGCATTATATTCAGACGCCCACTTACAGAAGTTGAACACTTTGTGTCGGACACCTAAACCTAGCTCCCATACTTATGAGAGTACCCCAACATCCGAAACATTTCTTTCAAAAGTACAAGCCGTTGAAATAGTGTTGTCTGCAATAAGTGACACCAGATCTAACACATTGACGTCAAACCTCGTGTTGCTTGGAGGGATAATAATTATATTCCAAACTCATGCTAATGACCAAATAACTATCCCAAGGGCTTGAACATCTGAAATTCGCCCATGGCTCTTTTCTGGGCATTATGTTTTGCTGATTGACAAAGATATAGACTTACTGTATAGGCTTGCCGAACTATCTTCCCTTTGATTGTCTTCTATTGTATCACCTGAAGGTAAAAAATGAAATATTGTCTTTAAGCAACGAATCAAGGTAAATAGGTACACAATACACAATACCTTACAAACACAACCGTGGCAGTTGTAGGGTTACACAGACCTAAGTCTGACCTTTTATTAGTGAGTCGTTGAATCATACTTATTATTCCACAATTACAAAATATCAGCCTTTTATGTTGATTTCGTCAAAGTTGTATTTGATCTTTTAATTGTTGTAAATTTCATAAGAAGTGAGCAAACATTAAAATACAGGTAATCTATAAAATTGAACGTTCTTTTAAGGAATCGCTGAAAGATTGTTATCTTATATCCTTGTTTTATCCATTTCAGATGAAAGGGTTTCACAAAGACCTGTAAGCCACTATATACCAAACAATGTATTCTGTCAAAGTTTCCTCAATGTATACTGCATGTCATTGTTAGTTTTGATTAACCCATTTAAGAACAGAAGTATGTCTTTATTTTTTTCTGTCCTACATGGTCAGCAAGAATGCTGGTAGATAGACATGTACTTTTACAGTACTTTTACATTAATTCAGATGCCGAGTTAAGCGTGTCATTTCATTGAGTGTATACAAATTACTTGACGATTAAGTACTTGAGTATATACAATTTTGGTTATAATTTAGTACCTTATCAAGCAGAAAGAAGGTAGACGTGTTTGTGTGGGAGTCAGAGTGATTATTAGCAATGGAGCATACCCGAAGAAAAATTTGAGAATCTGTGATAGAAGGCAGGCAATGGACCTGTTTATTGAACCTTGTAACTTCTTTATATTTGAATGAGATTAACCTGCGAAAAAGACCAGAAATCCTTTCGAATGAACCACATAAAGCATCGCCTAAAATATCAGAATATAAATGCGTTCGTATTTTTATTTCTCAATGAAACATCCTCAAAGAGTAATACACCAGACACAATTCCAAAAAGTAGTGTTGAGTTATATGGGAATAAAATAAAGATTCGAGAAGGCTATTATGATACAATATCACGTTCGGAAACAATATTTTGATGAACTAGATTTTTAAAAGTTTAAGTTCAAGCACATTATCGCAACGACAATGGAAATTGTAAACCTTTAACCCTACTAACCTAATCTATTTCATAACTGATGGTCGCAATCTTTCGAACTAGAGTGGGAATGATTCAGACTAATAGACAAGTTTACATGACCAATTTGTGTCGATCAGGCCGTAAAAATTCTACATCGGTCTATCGATAAACTTATAAGACCTAACGTTATTAAAAATAAATTGACAATTTGAAGATAAACATGGCATTTAAAATAAAGACAATGAGTTATCTGTACTTTGCCAAATGTTGCATCTGGGTATTCCTGAAATCATTAAGAGAATGTTAAATCTTTTTTATCTCTTAGATGATCGGGTTATTTTCTAATTTCCCAAATGTGACTGGCCTATAATAAAAATCTGCATGCATGTAAAGTGCATTTGGTGAAATTGACAAAGCCAATCTAAAGAAACAGAAAAAAAAGGTATCTCTCGTTGACATCTTCAATACCCCAATCAATTTCAGATCAAAACTGAAATCCCCAATTAACTTCAAGTGAAGGTCAACTGTTAAAACCTTATACTTTTTTAAATAGCAAAATCCCAAAATATTTTAGTCTAATATATACATTATTCATGCATTATGTATCTACGGATCAATATTAAGAAATTATGGGTTAAATGCGTCTCAGACTGGCCCGAAATAAGTTTTTGATTTTCTTAATTAAGATTTAATGATTTTTCTTTAAAGCAATTATCTGCAATTTTTAAAGTTATCATCGATATATTAAATTGAAAACGTCTAAAACACAACTAATTAAATATTGTAATTCAATTAAACACAATATGCTTAATTTGAAATGCTTCATTAGTTTATTTTTAATTTTAACTTCTAATTATGCATTTTAATAACTTGAAATAACTTTTAATTATCATTGAATTAATATACATTAATTAATGCAACGTTATGAAGTATAATTGTCTGGAATAGAGTGATTTAAAACGTTTACTGAACAGAGCATTCCATTCCATTCATTAAAAATTGTTGAAAATCTGTTTGTCTATAGGATCATTAATCTATTTTAGTCCTTGCTTTGAAATTATTTTTGAACTTATTTTCAATTTTCAAGTCTATTGCTTGTGATAGATACGAGATGACTTAGAAAGACGATAAAACACGGTGGAAGATTAGGGAAGGATTTGTTATCACCGTTTCTTTCTGGCGGATTATCCCTTGTATAATCTTGTTTACAACAATTATTTCAGTAAAGTTCCTATTAAAATCGTTTCAAATCCAATGTAAAATTCGATACAGAAATATTCTATTCTGATTTACTTGGTTGGAATGAACACGTGAGTGTGTGTGTTTGGGATGGGGAGGGGGTATTATACATTTTACCACAAAACGCCCTCGAAAGCCGTTTACCAAATGGAAAGAAACAAAACAGGAAGGAAGGAGTTTTAATTGTTATGGACTGGTTTACAGTGAACCATCAAACAAGACTAGTGTTTATGAAATAAATGGAATGAGTTTATACGATTAAACAGTGAACAACCACATTGAAGAAGTTTTCAAATACAATTTTTGACATGGTTGTAGAAAATAACCAAAATGGAAGAGGTTTTACAAGTCAAGTTATGTTATGGTTTTCCATTCACGACTACTTAAAGGTTTTACAAGAGCAGTTCTGATATGGTTTATCACTCACAATTAATAAAAGGTTTTACATGACAAGTTATGATATGGTTTACCACTCACAACAAATAAAAGGTTTTACAAGAGTAGTTCTGATATGGTTTATCACTCACAATTAATAAAAGGTTTTACATGACAAGTTATGATATGTTTTACCACTGATAACTAATAAATAAGATGTATTACAAGACGAAGTTGTGACGTGGTTGTAGCACAAAATGACAAAAATGACAAAAAAGAGATTTTTAACACGTTTGATAATACAATACTAAATGATGAAAGATTTGTAGTGTATCAAAGTAAAAGAGGAGGCGGAAGAGGATGAGACAGATGTGAGCGTTACAGATTAAGCAACTCTGTCTAAAGAGATAATTAGATTCGTTGATGAACTTACCTTGCTGTGATATATTATTAAAATCGTCTACAGATTTTTTACTCCACCAAGCTGAAAATAGAAAATTATTGAAGTGAGTAAAATGTTAAAATTATAGGTAAACGATCTTCTGTTTTCAGACGACTCTGATAGGGCTGAATTACTAGCCTAGAAGCCAATATTTTAGGGAGTGGAGGATGCCTAATAATCTGTTATGTCACGTCAATCTCCTACTGTATCATCACCCAACACAAAAGAAACCCCAGTGTTTTGCCAACTGTCCAAAATCACTTCGTTTTGAAGAACAGTGTTAACACCTCGTATTTTCTATCTCGTGGATTGGTTATGTATATAAATTTACTTGCAACACTTGTGATCTCATGATGGGATCATGATCTTCCTTAATTTTGAGTAATATTGGATTTGATGACCCTTCCTCAGAATGGCTTTTTTACAATAATTACTGAAACTGTCAAAACCCAAAACAGGCATATGACTGGAAAAGTCCCGAAACATATTAATCTTGACGTCATTTAGTCACAGAAATAAACATGAATGCAGTTTTGTAAAATGTATAATCCATTTATAACTATATCACAGAATTAACCATAGGCGGTCTTTCACTTGTGTTTTATTTTAAGGCATGTTTGCTCCAGACTGTCATCTGAGAAAACATTATAAAAATACTATACGAATGATTTAAAGCGCAATTCTATTTGACCAAATTAGTTCGAAACCTTTCAGGCGGGCTCAAGGCGACTTGCGATTCTAAGCATCCCATCGGACCTGTCTCAGAGCGAAATGCTGATTGATCGACTACTAGCAACGGTCAACTAGATTGTATAGCAGATTACGAGTTCAGATCCAATTTCAGCTTTTGGCAACCGCGATTCAGCAAATTTCTCTGGTAAGACTAAATAAGCGTTAGTTTAGATTCTCTAACATTCTGCCAGATGCTATTTGTATGTTTAGGCATATTGATCTGGTTGTATCTCATGATGTTGATCTATATAGTAGTGGCGGGTGTCGCGCGCGAAGCAGACCATGCTTACGCTTTTCGAAAAACCTGATGGTACCTCTCTTTGGCGGAGTCTATTACTATAATATTTTTACTCTTGATTTTGCCATGGTTTGGACGAGATTTTTAATTCTATTAATCATTGAAAATCCAAGTGCTCCCTGATCAGTCCAGTGTGGTTATCCTTACGCCTCCTACCATCCCGATTGCGCGTCTGTTAGAAGCTAGTAAAAGACAACAGGGTTCTGACTATGTAAAAAGATTCGAAATCAAAGACTTGATTCTTCTCTGTGATTCTCTTTGGTAACTGACATTGACAGTGTTGTCTTCCATGAAAAAAGTCAAAACAACGAAAGACAAAGTTTTGTGATATATATTGTAATAGAATCACGCAGTTTATTCTAATACGGGATACCGCCCTTACATTATTTAAATTTTAAAGAAGGACCTCGAGGATAGCTACCAAGACGTCTTTTAGAAAATATTCGATTCGTATGAACAATTCGGACAGTTCGGGAATTCGGAATTTTACACCACCGATATAATACGGAAGTAAAAAGACTTGAATTTGATTTTCCATCTTTTTGATAAAGGATCATTTATCTGCTAGTGCAGAAAGTCAAACGCTTGGCAAAGTGATACCCTCAGATCTTTCACCACAGTTAATAATGTTGAATGGAATAATCTTTCACCACAGTTAATAATGTTGAATGGAATAATAAACTGAAGATACTTTTCTTGTCTGAGACAACTGCTTTTGAAAAATATAACCTTTTACTCGTTTCAAGTGATAACTTCATTATTTATCTAATCACGATAGATCTCTATGAACATTTCATGCCGAATATCACGCTTGATGGAATCCCAGGAGCCGTTTCGTACCTTTTGATGCTTGTCCTTTCGGTTAATGATTGTAAAATGATATGGGATTGGTCTCCTGACAATAAACCAACTCTATATCTATTAAATCTGAACAGACTTGGATGAACAAATCAATCTTATAAATAAATTATACACGGTAATATACTAAAGGTAGCTCCCCGTCTTCAAGATCTTTTGTTTGAGATAAGTGGTTATCGCTAAATCTTGGCAAATATTATCTTAAAAATTTTCTTTTCACAGATTGATCAAAGCATCAAGTCATACAGTTTGACGTAGACTAATATTTTATTTATAGGAGATAAATGTTAAAAGTGTCATATCGTGCATATATATATAGCTCTACCCTTTTTTCCAGAATCAATTAAGTTGAAAAAAATCAGGGTCTTTGAACATAACTCTTAAGGAATTTTCCTGTAGATGTTGTAGAACCAGATGTCGGATTTCAGTTATGAAAGGTGGTACGCATAACTGAAATTGAGTCCTCTCATCTGGCGAATGGGAAGAATCAATTTTCGATATCAGCTTTATCAGAGGAAAATAAATTACAGAACAATATATTCCCATTGAATATCCCAATGGATACACGATAAGTACATCGAGTACAAGTTATATACTGGCTATTTGAAATTCCAAGTGGAATGTTTGGACATTATATCTTTCAGTAAAACGTGACTTCAAACTGCGTTTGTAACCCGGAAACCAGTAACTAAAATCACAGTTGTTACATCAATAAACTATTATAAACTCACTAATTATATCACAATCTAATAACAAACTTACAATTTCTTTTGTCGAGGTTATCCAGCCAATAGTTATCGTCTAATGGTGATAAAGAACGTGCAAATGATAAACCTGAAATAGAGATAAGAAACATAAATATATAAACATCGGCGTTAATTGGTTAATATTAAATACACGTTACGTTACAAAGTTACATAGTTTTCACTGAAAGCGATCACGGGCTCGATTGTGAATGGTCGAGAACGTGCAATATCAAATTTTCAAGCTTCAAAATGTGGAAATAGAGAATTTGGCTTCTACTAGCTTTAAAATATACACTTATGCAGCTTTATTAAAATAAGCAGCTTTCCTATATAGAATTTGGACTACGTTTTAGCGATTTTGTTCGTGACTAACCACGCTAAAAAATGACACAACTTCATAAAAGTGAGTTCCTTCACAGTAATCACACTTTATAATAGAGTATTAGGACCTTGGTGTTGAACATTTTGGTTAACATAATCCGGGGCAGATGCAGAGTATGGGCCTTAATAGTATACGAATAAAGTTGACAATTGCATTGAGAGAAGAAAGTCACTATTATACAATGAGAGAAGCTCTGTAAAAGTTAGAGAAAGATTTTGCGGGACAATCGGCAGCATTTTGAACATCAAACTTTTAAAACAAGGATCAAAATTAACGAAAATATTTGCATAAATCTTGGCATAATGTCTTCGAGATTCTCAAAATACAGCGTATATATCTCGATAAACTAAACTTCCTGTAAAGATCTGTTATTCGACTTAAGTTAAGGAAATTCCGGTGTTGATCTGCACTATTTAGATTTAAGCTTGTTGACTTCCGGTTTAGATCTGTTACTAAACGCGAAGTCAGGATGTAGATTAATCGAGCTTTTAAAAACGTACTTTTCACAAATTATAAGCTACTCTTTATGTCTTCTCGATAGATGTAATCATAGACTAGGTTGTCATCAAAATCTATTAAGTATTTTCTGTTTAAATTTGAGAAAATATAGTTCCAAAACTTTTAACAGAAGATAATGTCCAAAATATATCCTTGTAACCAATCAAACAACAACTATTGGGACCATTTCAAGACATGTATTTCAGGGGTTACAAGCACTGTTAGAAATACTTTCGCAGAAATGCAGCCATTGAGCAAGTATTAATTTTTTGAAAATATCTGCATGGAAATTTGTGACAAATCTCTACATTGGTTTGAACTGTTAAATTTGTTTTCGTTTAGTAAAGAAAACATATGATTTTTCATGAAAAATTTCCAATAATGAGTCAATCTCGAATGAACAAAAAGTTTAAAATGCAATTTAATTTCTATTTTTAATAAAAGAATGCGAATCTTTATTGACAGAAAAAGAGAAAAATGTAATGAAACACTTCAATCGAACACACTGTATTAAGCAAACATATGTCAAGAAGATTTAATAGTGTGATTTGAGCTATACAGAAATTTCACTCTTGCATCTAGAAACAGAAGAAAAATGAAAACGGACAGATAAGATTATATTCAAGGTAAATTAAACCTTGATGATATTAAAGTCCTTCAAACTGTTCTGTCGGAATTTTTTTTTTGAGTCTTAAATATATGTTAATAGACAGAAGCACTAGAAATGTACGAAAATCGCAAAATTCCTTCAAAAATATCTCAAACTAGGAATTTCTTTACCTATTTCTATAGATGTCTTTTCTATATATGACAGTATCTCAAGAAAAGACGAGACTTTCAAACGCTGACAATTCTGGACATTCATTGATTTGAAGGCCCAAATTTCGACGATGAGCTGTGAACACTATTATCGATTAGCTCATAAAATGGCCTGATTATCAGAATACTGACACGTATAACTTTAGCTCGGAACGCTTTGTAGGAGAATATAGGAGTAGGAACGAACTATTTGAACTGGAAGGGAGGATGTGACGCATTTAAATTTCATCGAAGGTAGTTATCTTATAATAATGAAAGTTATACCTAAGGGTAAAACACTGCTAAACGATGTTTTAAGTATTCCTTCATAACTGAAAGATGCCTGCATGTAGCTTTTGATTAATAAGTAAATGAGACAATTATTAGAAGGTTTCTTGTCATGACAAATCTTTGTCTCGAAGGTATATCAGCGGCTGTTTTTATTTCCCACTTACTCACGTCATTGGAATAAGTTCATTGTACACTGTACTTCGGGAAGTCATATTTTCATTTTGAAATTTTATCACAATCACAAAACGTGAACAAAACGTGAACCGATTGATTTGAAGAATTTTGTTCAGAAATCACAACAAGAACCTTTCCAAGTTGATCTTTGTTATTTCTGCATCATTTTTTTTTTATTTCATATTGATAAACAATCTTATTGTCGGTTTATTGTCCTAATCGAGCAACAAGACGCCGAAAAGGTGCAATGAAAATGACAGAGATCGAAATCGCCGTTCAAACATTCAATCGGGTATCAGTCAGATATAGTGTCAAACATATCCACTCCAAGAATGTTAACAGAATGTTAAATTTACATAAGAAACCCTCTTCTAGGTAGACAATGATCCAACAACCATCGGCATGACCGACCATACGACTTCAGTTTGAAATAAACTTTCAAGAGAATCGCTCGTGACTAATGCCATTTTAAAACGTTTCCAGACGATGATTTTCTACTAATGGTACATTTGAAGCTAATATTTGTAAATTAGTAGAACATTTTGGGGATGTGACCTTACATAGTTCTACTCGGTGAAGTTATTTCGACTCACTTAAATAATTGAGGCAGTCATTACTTCCTGTTTAAACTTCTTGCATTTCAAAGGGACATTTTCTTTTTCTAGCTGATTGTTAATATTTAATAATCTCGAAGCGAAATGATGTTATTTTTTCATAATTTTGTAATGAATATGAAATTAGCTGTACAGACTCAAATTGGCTAAAATACTGAGCAAAGTCTTAAGGCGTATCTAGAAATTGCGAAACTACACGTTTAACGATAGAAATGAAAATGAAATGAATGGAGTTTTACGTCCACGTTTAACGATAGTTAAGAGTCGATCAATTCATAAGCCTTATAGAAAGAATACCCACTTATCACTCACACTGCATTCATCATCCAATGTGATTATATAAAATAATAAGGATATATAGTAACGAGATTACAGAAGCTTAACTCTTCATGATTTTTACATACTCTATATTTCTTCTCAATAAAATCGTAACATATGGTTTATATATAATTGAAGATTCTCTGCTCTTCGTTCGTGAGATTCTTTTTTTTTTGGGCAAATTTTGATTCCGAGGACATTCCCACTAATTTCAAATTTCAGATTAAATCAGAATAATCAGTCCATTGAATCTAGAGTAACGAGGACAGACAGACGACAAGCAAGTTACATATTCAACAATCAACAGTGACCTCCTTTTAAACGTCTTGTATCTGTCAATGACGTTTCACTGACCCGTATAGAATGGACGCTCAGTTTAAATTGAAATTTGTGTGATTGACATGCATAGCGTGCCGATGGCTTAAAAATGGCGGGAATAGTGTCATCACCGTCTGATGGAGGTTTGAATTAACATCTTGTAGCGACAACTAAATATACAAACATTTAATGAAGTCAATTCTATGTGTTGGCACGAATCGAGAATATTCTAAGAAGACTTATGGATAAAAAGGAAATGGTAAATTATCTAGGTTGATTGTGCTCAATTAACGAACGTTTGTGTCTTGTAGATTTGGTACACCTAAAGGACTTACAAATTCTAACACCGTGTGTTCTGATATGATGCTCAGATGATTTTACAATCCTGTCTTCTATTGCTTTTGAAGTTATGAAACAGAGCTTAGCACTTTACAAAATGCCAAAGAGGGGAAGGTTGGTGATAGAAGGGCATGTTGCTTTAATTAAGACGAAATCCCAAGATTTTAGGATATAGGGTGGTTGGGTTTTATACTGCACAGTTGTTCATGTAGGGAGCAAGTACACAATTTTCTTATCTCGTACCTATGTAATTTCTAGAATTCTGATTGGATAATATTTTGCTGTCTGAAAAGCTAGAGTTCTTACTATTGTTCACGCTCTTATAGTTTGATATTAATGACAAGTCCAAGATCGTCTGCTTCTTTTGTATGTCATATGCCTAGAAAAAAATTCAAACTGCAATCATGAACATTAAACATATGAACTAGGCTACTGATAAAAAAAAATTGTAGTTGGTTTGTGATTGTTGCGCACCAACATTTTGTGTAGATTCTTCAGCATTAAATATTTCTTTTCGATGATACTCAAAGCTCTTAAAATTACAATCTTTTTTGAGTCATATAAAAATGTATATTGTTTTAACTTGCTTTATGCTGTTTCTATTTATCGAAATGTTTTGTTTCGCTTCAAGTATTGAAAATGGACTCAATTTTTGCTGCAAAAATTTGGATGACGTATCACATATCCAATAGCAATGTTTACACTGTAGTTGGTGAATAGGTAAAATGAATAGAACATCCTTTCGTGCCATCTTTGACCGTGCTTAAAGAATGAAAAATTTCTGTTTTGTTTTTAATCTCCCATTGAATTCATATCTCTTAAACTAGTTCCTGTTCTTTGAAGTAATCAAATATTCACGAAGTTGAAAAAGTTAAGATTTATTTCCGTTGAAAATCATTTATACAATAAAATAAAAACACAAAATGACAAGAACTTATGTTTTTAAGCTTTTCGTGAAATGTGGCGTGTGAATTTATTGAACAAATGACTGTAGTCCAAAAAGAATGTTAACATTTGAAACGTTAAATCAAATAGATTTTGACGTGTATAGTTTGATTTGTAAGCACATTAACATTTGAAAGATAATATTAATTTTCCTATGAAGGATGTTCATGGAATACTTGTAATTTTCAGAGTAGACCTGTTATTGTTAAGCAGACTTAATAATGGACACATCTTGTAATTAGAGACTCAAATCTCATCTCAGTCTCTAATAATCTACGCTAAAATACCAATAGTTTTTTTTTTGTCGTTGACAGTGGAGTTTGTATCATGTTATGTCACAAAAACGTTGATAATGTCAACAGAATTTGAGTATTCATATTTTACGACCCATGATTATGGAAATATGATAAAGGCAGAAGGTAGACGTGTTTGCAATCATGCCAATTCTCGTGATATTAGATTATCAAAAGAGGGGGGTCGGTCAGAGTCCAGAAGCCAATGGATTTAAGAATTCGTACAACTGATTCATAACTGATATAATTATTTCAGGGTTTCAGAATTTCGTTCAATGTCTCGATTAGAATACTGACAGAGGCCTAATAACAGGAAAAGGGGTAAATAATTGCAAATTTGTCTTACTTCCGGTGGATGTATAGATTAGTTATTTTTCCCTTAGAATCACAGTTTGATTAAAGAAGTTTACTGCACAACAATAGGTACCAATAAACATGGAAACGAGGATGAATAATTTCTTAGATATTTGTTCCAGACTTCAAATTTCATAGAAAAAAAAACCCTTCGAAGGATCTTAACCGTGCACAACTTTTTGCGCAAAGAGGCTGTGTTGTCTAATCCGAATGACTTAACGTTCAGTTCCTCTGACCTGCATGATAGTGGCAGAGAATGCCTGCACAACTACATCTGGAGTTGGCAAGACATAGATGTTCTCGGTTAAATCACAACATAATACTTTTATATGAAGTTGCTATATGCTAGTACCGATGGTAAGACAAGACAAAACACCTATAGACATCCATCGGTGCAGTTAAAAAAAACAGGATTCAAATTATCATCACTAGCTCAATGTGATGAAGATAACGTACCATGCCATAGCACTCCATACATACATTCCTGGTATAAAGTGCATTGAACAATAATTTTGACTCAAAGATCTCAAAACATTGGAATCAAAACATGAACTATTTAACATGTACTTGATAAGATCAAAAAAAAAAAAATCCATCGAGACAAACAACCGCCTCGCATCTCAACAATAAAACTCTATTAACATCCCTAATTGTTAAATGTATCAACTAACAAAATTAAGCTTATTCTGAATCGGTGAATCAAAGGCTCTTAACACCTAAATTGGTCAATAAAACCCAAACGATTTATAAACGTTAGTTCCATAGTTCCATTAATGATTGTTAACACGCAACCTTAGTATAGATATCTTTCTTTAATACAAGTCATCACATATAGCTTGAAAACTTAAACCAAAATACTATGTTTGATTTAAAGTAGTGCCAACTCCAAGTACTGTAGCACTATTATCGTTGATTTTTATAACTGTACAAAACATACGGACGGAAAACAATTTAAATTAAGTGGAAAATCTCACGTTTTGAGATCGGGATCCTGTACGATAACATCATTTACAAAATCAGACCACATGATAAGTAATTGATTTAGCATGATCAATTTTGGTGATCCTTTTTGAAACTTTCATTTCTTTAGCCTTTATCACTTCCTCAAAATGTAAACCCAATAGAATACATACATATACATGTACAGATTAATTTCATTTGAAACGTCACAATATATTATTGTAATTTCAGTCGATACAACAATGGTGTTAGTCTGAAACATCTGCCTCTATTCCAGCCTCTTGTAGATATATTGACAGTTCGACTGGAGCAGTGTCAGAAAAACTAGGCCCTGTGGCACTTTTCAGACCACCGCAGATACGGTTTTTCTAACAATTTCTAAAAATTAACTTTACGATGACTGTAAATTAGTGTTGTAACTTCCATTTTGTTAGTATCGCGTGACTCTATGACCTTTGAACTATAAAAACTGATGAGAGCGAAATGGAACCACAGACGTGACATAAATGGTGTAGGGGATTATTATGGTATGATTTGTTGATCTGAGATATCTAAATAGGTAAAAAAAAAAGATGCGGAATTTTCCAATTAAACAGGGCATAGTTTTGCTGGCTTTACGCCAGTCGACAATTGTCAAAATAGCTATCAATGGCTAGAATAGATTTAGATGTTGCGGGCTACAATGGTTTACACACAAAGATTACTTATTGTATTATAATATTTCTGAAGAAAGCGTGTTTCTTTATATTTTTCATAATGATAGGATTCAAACCAAGTCTCAAGAGAATAAAATTCGTGCACACAAAGAGGCTGTTATCCGGAATAAGCTATACTATCAAGTATAATTAAATTTTGTTCCATAGTAAAGGCATAATCCACCTGAAGCGGGAGTTAATTTAATTAAAAAAAAGCTATATCTCCTTTATATTTTTGATATTGATATATCTCGCATACACAGTAAGGCAGATAAAAACATCGTGCGAAAGACTAGATGCTACGTTCGAATCCAACTCAAAATAACAAACATTCTGATGCCACAACAAGTTCCTTAATTGTAAACCTGCAGTTTGAATACCGCCTTTACCTTAGTTCATAATAACATGTACCATTACCAAAAATAACATGATTTAAGGGCGTTTCTCCTGAAGACATAGACACATTGACAAACCCAGTCTCTGATTGGCCTCAGGTTACCATGGTTCTTTTCACAATCATTGTGAAATCTCACTTTTTAACTAAAAAGTTATATAGCTTGGCAACACAATTAAGGTGTACTTTAAAGCAGAAAGGTTAAGTGTCGGGTGTTAGTTCCGGAATCCAGAAAACCGGACACATAACACAGAAGGTAAATAAATAATATTGATTTGGGGTCTCATTTCATTAGGTAAAGTGTGTCTTGTATGGCGACTTTTAGATCGAAAGGGAGTAATTTTAAAATGTAAACGTTTAATAGCCCAGAAATACCAGTCGATGGAACAATTATGTGTTGTAAAGTTTAATTTCGCTCTATATATTTGAATATTCCGTAATTGTGAAGTATCCAATATTCCCATCATAGGAAACATTTCGTCTCATAAAATTGCAGTTATGTAATCAATGAATAATCTCTTTTTTTCAATTATATTTTCAGTTTCTGAGTTTCTTTCAGCGATGATGAGTTCCAAAAGAAAGATATAAACTTGTAGTCAAGTGTTAGTTACTGTGATGCCTATGGCCACTGATAGAAGGAATGCATTACCAGAAGGTCAAGACAGAAAGTGTGACGTGTAAACATTCAGGATCCCGAGGACATAGTTATCTGTTTATCAGCTTAGTTACAGTGCTAGTCTGTGATGTTCATAAGATCACATATCTTTGGTAAAGTTAATCTTACAATTTATACTCAAATCTGATGCTAATGCTGGACATACCTAATTTTGATCAAACTGCAGCTTTCGGTTATTTTTTCTGCTGATATTTGATGTGTTACTGTGGGCTAGATGGTATTGTTTGCTCCTTAAAGGCTAATTCTTTGGGAATTTTCCATACAAATGAAAGTATTCTTTCTATAATTTTCGGGCTAATAATCTTGGGAAAGCAAACTACATTCCAAGACAAGAATTAGAAAATTAAGCTTATATTCAGGCAGAAATAAAATACATAATTCTTGGATCACTTTGTGAATGGATGACAGATGATCTTTAAAATCATGAGTTAAAAATTCAGAGTTAATCGATTTTTATTCAACATAGTAAAAGCTTTTTAGGTCATGCACTTGGTAAACACCAGGCCTTTTCTGTCGCTTATTTAATAGAAGCCAGAATAAAGTCTAATGATTGTTTAGGGAAAAACGTGAGTTACTATTCTTTTAAATCAAGGCCATGACAAGAGTTTTGAAATCGGCGTCATGTCAATTAATGAAAAATGCAAAATAATTAACAACGCTAGTATATATTCAATTATTCAAATCTTTATGGAGCATCATATATACTTAAAGTCACAAGAGGAATAAGTGGCGGAATAAAACTAATACATCTAAACATTAACAACTCCCCGAGGGTCGGCCAGAAACCTATACTATTATCTTCTTAAACATCGAGTATCAATCAATTCTGCTACATCATTCTTAATGGAATTTAAAGTACATTTACGCAAAGCATTGATAAAAATTGATCGTTAATTAAAATTATAGCGAGGACTTCCAAATTAGAGAATATAAAGAACAACTTGGTCAGATGCGCCTTGATGTAGACAACGTGATCCGTTTAGTGTTTAGAGAGTCTTGAACAGACGGTTACAGTTTCTAATCAGCTACTTAAATGTCTGATGGAACCTGATTTCAGTAATAAAGATGAATACCTAGTCCAAGCAATAAAATGTCTAGCTTTAGATTGCGTGAAAAATCTGAAAAAGGAGTCATTCTAAACGTCGTTATGATCGTCTTAAGCTAACAAATAAGAGAAACATTGCTCATCCTGTTCAGATCGTCTTACACCAACAAATACAAGAAACATTGTCCATCTATTCTGATCGTCTTACACCAACAAATACAAGAAACATTGTCCATCTATTCAGATCGTCTTACACCAACAAATACAAGAAACATTGTCCATCTATTCAGATCGTCTTTCACCAACAAATACAAGAAACATGGCTCATCATGTTCAGATCGTCTTACACCAACAAATACAAGTAACATTGCTCATCATGTTCAGATCACCTTATACCGACAAATATAAGATACATTGCCCATCCTGTTCAGATCGTCTTAAACCAACAAATACAAGAAACATGGCTCATCATGTTCAGATCGTCTTACACCAACAAATACAAGTAACATTGCTCATCATGTTCAGATTGCTCACCATATTCAGATCGTCTGAAGTCATAAGATACAAGAAGCATTGTTCATTATGTTGATATCGTCTAACAACAACAAATACAAGATACTTTGCTCATCATATTCAGATCGTCTTATACCAACAAATACAAGAAACATTGCTCATCGTGTTCAGATCGGCTTACACCAACACATACAAGTAACATTGCTCATCGTGTACAGATCGTCTTACACCAACAAATACAAGTAACATTGCTCATCATGTTCAGATCGTCTTACACCAACAAATACAAGTAACATTTCTCATCGTGTTCAGATCGGCTTACACCAACACATACAAGTAACATTTCTCATCGTGTACAGATCGTCTTACACCAACAAATACAAGTAACATTTCTCATCGTGTTCAGATCGGCTTACACCAACACATACAAGTAACATTTCTCATCGTGTACAGATCGTCTTACACCAACATATACAAGTAACATTGCTCATCGTGTACAGATCGTCTTACACCAACAAATACAAGTAACATTGCTCATCGTGTACAGATCGTCTTACACCAACAAATACAAGTAACATTTCTCATCGTGTTCAGATCGGCTTACACCAACACATACAAGTAACATTTCTCATCGTGTACAGATCGTCTTACACCAACAAATACAAGTAACATTGCTCATCGTGTACAGATCGTCTTACACCAACAAATACAAGTAACATTGCTCATCGTGTACAGATCGTCTTACACCAACAAATACAAGAAATATTGCTTCCAAGCTCAGATCGCCTAACACTAATAAATACAAGTAACTTTGCTCATCATATGCAGTCTTATACCAACAAATACAAGAAACATTGCTCATCATGTTCGGATCGTCTTACATCGACAAATAACATTGCTCTTCATGTTGAGATGTTCTAACACCAACGAATACAAGAAACATTGCTCATCATGTTTGGATCGTCTTACATCGATAAATACAAGTAACTTTGCTCATCATGTTTGGATCGTCTTACACCAACAAATACAAGTAACTTTGCTCATCTTGGTCAGATCGTCTTACACCAACAAATACAAGAAACATTGCTCATCATGTTCGGATCGTCTTACATCGATAAATACAAGTAACTTTGCTCATCATGTTCACATCGAATGCAAATCTGTCTATTTCAGAGCAGGTGTGTATTAATAATAAAACCGGTATATTATTAAGTATTTCTAATCTCACTTCTTTTCATTAAGGGTCATTTTCTTCTTATTCTAATTAATTTCTAGCAGAACAATGACTAAGGGATTAAGAAAAACGATTCATTGTATGCACTTGACCACATGGGTTCTTAATCACAAATGTCTTCGTAAGTCAAGTGGTATATCAGATGTAAAACAGCCCTGTATCATTCTTCATATGAAAGGATAATGACCAAAAACTTCTAGTTCTAGAGATTGCTCTGGAGTTCTATTCTTCATCTATCTATCTATCAGTTACTGGATTTTTTGCCTCGTTTACTCTTCTAAAATCCCCTTCGAGTGTTCTAGAAGGGTCAGCGTGATAGCGACACCCGCCTCTACCTTAATTATTACCAGCTTGAAGAAAGTGAATGTCTGATGAAATAACTGTGGCCTAGAGACAAACTGATGATCTCTGTAATTAGTTCAAGTGAGTTAGAATTTACTGTAAACTAGAAGCTGGACATAACAAGAAAAAAAAGAGAACAATGGATTATTACATTGTGCCAATTAAGAATATTAGTCCATTAATAATATAAAGGCTAGTTTTATTGCTTCAGGTTTTTTACTATATTAATTCTCAGTGTGAAATTAATTTAGCACCAGGAAGGTGAGACATGGGCCGTATCTAACAGAAATGATTTAAATTTCTTGGACATAATCTGAATATAAGTAGCCATTCTCGGGAAAACAATTCAAATAATCCTTATTACTGAGATTTGTTTATACTTTTGAATCAGCACAAGCAATGTCATAAAGTATACAGAGATATGACTGAGGTTATCAGCTAGATATTGAATATCAAGATCATACGGCTAATTCTCTTAGACATCCCGATCACCCTCGTAGATGATAACCAATATACAGAACTAATTCGATTTGTAAATTTCAAGAGACAGAAAACAATAATTTTTATCATGAAGAATTCAAATTAACGTAAATACAATATCTAAAAGTATTTCCTGAATATGTTCTTTTGTGTTTAGTTTAATAAACTCATGAAAAAACTGTGCAAGTAGAACCCAAGGGTTTGATTTCCTGCTGTACATTGCATCTTTACATCCGGCCACTGACATTGAATTAAACTGATGATTAATGATTATGGACAAATATATGTTCGGATGTAAACTTAGGTTCGCATTTTTGAAAGTACGGAACATTTTATTAAATCTTATGCTTTGATCGATAGAAGCGAGTGCAAAGGCGAATGTTCGATGCCTCCGAATAGTCAAGAGCCAGAGCGGTGAAGGTGAAATATGTTTAAGGCTCAAAATTGCGAAAGTAAATAAAAACGGACATTACACAAAATGATGAGGGAGTTTGGCCCTCACAGCTTACACCGTTGATATTAATCTTCAGTGAACTGTTGTTCTTTCATCTTATTTCTACCATTCCCAGATGATCTGAATTCTACTAATTCTGTTTATTGGGTCACTGTTTCTATTTAGCTCTACCCGCATTAACTGATCCTTTCTTAGTCATACAATATATCAAACAAATGACCATTAAGGGACAGTCTGAACCAAATGGCATTGACATTGACGACTATGTGTTAAGCTTAATTTGTATAAGATAGAACTGACTGGCCTTTGCAATTAACACGTAATTAGATAACACAGACCGATTTGAAATTGAATAAAAGGTTAACAATAACAATAATACAACAAACAATCTTTTATATACATACCCTTAAGATAAATATAAATGGTGTTATAAAGGTCAGCTCATGCTCTTGTCCTTTTTTAACATTAATGACTTCATAAATTCATAAATACGTTCTTATACATATACAATAAGAACGATATATATTTTTAGATACACCCTTTAACATCAATAACTTTTAAATTCATATACCCTATCAATGTTATTAACTTCATATATTCACAAATAAAAATGAAGTTAATTTAATAGAAAAGGCAAATGTGTATGCAATTTGAATATTGGCCCCTTCACGTATTACAGATAATTGTGTACTTTCTATACTTATATTGGTCATTACTTGGTGAGTTGGTTCACTGTGTAAGTTACTTGTCTCGGTTTGATTATAATACAGCAGCTAATATCCTGATAACTGTGGTTATATGTGTAAAAGTCGCTATGACATCCGGTTACATAAGGCACCAGGAGATTCGATTTCTATTTCGCTGAATGCTGGAGTTTTAAATGCCGCCTATTGTTATAGAATAATGACTCTCGCATACATTGATAAAGTACGACATACATGGATAAGTGCATGTCAATGACCTACTCAAAAACTTGCTGTCTTGTAGGCTTTGTTAGATATTTTGACAATAATTATTTTTAATATACTCGATAGAACGATGCAAATCTGCTCGTCGTACTTCATAAAAAAGTAATAAAAAACAATGCATTAATATATGAATACTTATTGAGAAATAGAATTAACAAGTTTCGCAAACACAATAGTTAATTAAAGTTCACTAGTTCTTAACAACTATTATATTGATGAAAGATACTGCTAATAAAATTACTAAGATACTCTACTTAACAATTATCACACTATACACGATATGCCCTATATCTTGTTTAATATCAGAAAACATTTCTCATGCCTACATAACCTATTGTCTATGTGTCTTTTTCTTTTCTTTTTAGGTTAGCCAATTATAATAGTGCTCCCAGATCACCATCGAAATTTGAGCCTTCAAATCCACGTGTATCCAGAATTATGTGCGTTTGAATGTTAAAATGACAACTCGTCATTTTAATATACTCTGTGATATATTGAAAAGACATATTATGTAGAAATAGTAAGTACAATTCCTAGATTTTAAAGTATTTTGAAAGGAATTATGCGATTTTCGTAGATCTCTAGTACTATGCATGTATACAAGACTAAAATCAACCCCCAAAATGGCGCATCTGTCCCTTTAAATGTTATGATAATAGGTTTAATCAGCATCTTCAAGCTGACTGGGTTTAAGTTATAAATAAATAAAATTCAAAAAGCGTGAAAAAATACCTAATAAGTAATCCTTTTTTACACTTAATTGTATTTTGAATTGTCAAAAGGTCATTCAATGAGATTTGAAGTAGTTTAAAATATTCGATTTATTCAACCTTTTTATGATTTAAGTATTTTATGATAGTGTCATGAAGTTCTATTTGTAGAAGACAAACTGTTCAGCTGATCTTTAAAGTATGATCACTCCATGTCAATCCATGCTAATATTATTTCATCTTTTATCAAAATTAAGCCAAATCAAGCTAAGGCCAACGTTCAAATTTTACGTAAAGCCAATTCAAGCTAAGGCCAACGTTCAAATTTTACGTAAAGCCAAGTAAAGCTAAGGCCAACGTTCAAATTTTACGTAAAGCCAAGTCAAGCTAAGGCCAACGTTTAAGTTTTACGTAAAGCCAAGTCAAGCTAAGAGCAACGTTTAAGTTTTACATGAAGCCAAATCAAGCAAATGCCAACGTTCAAATTTTACGTAAAGCCAAGTCAAGCTAAGGCCAACGTTCAAATTTTACGTACAGCCAAATCAAGCTAAGGCCAACGTTCAAATGTTACGTACAGCCAAATCAAGCTAAGGCCATCGTTTTTTTACCAATTAAATGTCAGTGAATGCTTACGTTTTTGATTAATTGACAGGACTTACTTTGCAACCATGACTGCTATAAATCGCCCTTTTTTTCTTGAGCACAGACTGGGTTAAATCTGATTTAAGATTGGATTCACATCTTGGCGGTTTCAACCCCACCAATAGTTTCAACATAGATTTTTCTAACCAAAACGAACGCTTCAGAAAGTCAACATTTTCTATAAACCTATAAGTGTTAGGTAATAAGCA